CACGTGACCACAGGCACCGCGCGCGCCAATCAGCCGGCTGTCATCGACGAGAAGATAAGTTCGAGCGATGAAATTACTCGAGTAAAGTTGACTGAATTCATATGAAGAAATTCAACTCGCGTCAACGAAGTGAACGCTCCCTGAACGCGGAAACCTGTTCGTGCAACGTTTATGCACCTCCTCGTTAGTCTCGTCATTTGGAAAAAAAAACATGTTTAGAATTTTTTTTAACAAAACAGTGTTTGTGTTATGAGAGTGCAAGCGGTGGTGCAGTGGTTTTCCCACTGTGCTATGAACTCGGCGACACGAATTCAATTCCCATCTACAGCAAATTAACTGTTGAGTGATATCTAAACGAGTTCTGCTCTTCCCCCCCCCCCCCTTCACTAACCAGCATGGTGAAGTATGCTCAAATAATCCTTATGACTAAGAAGGCACATGGAGTCTTTCATCAAATGCGTACCATTGTATTTGGATGGTTCCAATTTAATTACATCCTTGGCAGTGAAATGAAAGCGATGCTGATTTGCGCAGCGTGTAGGCTAGATGAGAAAGCAGTGGGGGGGGGGGGGTTGGGGTGTGGGCTCTGGCAGGAGCTCACTCGAATGCAAAAGGGAGGCTCATGGGACGCAGCCAAGGCAATGGAGTGTGGTGCCATTCTCCGGGAGCATGATGTGTTCCGATCAGGGCTGCACAGTTTCAGAATCAAAATGTGTATTCATACTGGAGAAATCCGATGAGCCATGAAGCTCTTTTTCACAGATGTCCAGGAGTTGATGTGTTAACAAATCTACGCACAGAGGGGGCTTCGTTTCTCGGAGAATATGTCCTGCAGTGCTCGAAGACTGAAGTGTAGACACGTGGCTAGTAGCCACAGTCATCACGAGAGACATATTGGACGTGGTGTGCTAGGTGCGAAAGAGAGAGAGTGACCCGGTGGAAATTAAACCTTGGAAGTGGCCGACAGACCTGGTCTTCACCTGAGGACGGCTGCTTGCGTTGTGGCCGAAACGTCGTGAGAATTATTTTATTGTTTTATTTTTATTATTTTATTACTTCCCTTCTACGTGACTTTACCGGAAGAACCAAGAAGATGAATCCCTGCAGTCACGAAAGTTTTAAATCGAAATTTAGTGGCCATGAGACCAGTTTTTTTTTTGGGGGGGGGGGGGGGGACAAGCGTCAGTTGTAGTAGTGTACGTTTTTGAACTTTAAAAACACTTTTGCTCTCCGTGTGACAGTCTCACTCGCGTTGTCTGGTTAGGTCTGCAACAGCTTCAGACAACAAGTGGAAAAGTCAACGTGTCTCCATGGTGGTCCTGAGCCAGTGGTGGAAATTCCACATTGCCGCGACGGGGGCCAGTCTATCCACAGTACAAGCACCGTTGATTTCCCACAAAAGTAGTAGTCATGTTGTCGACCTCAGAGGGAACACGGTCGGAATCAAACCCCGAACTGGGTTCAACATTTCAGGCATCTCGATTACGAATTAAGCACTCTGCGTCGTATAAACGTGCGCAAGTGTGAACTGGGCCTGTTTGCGACACCAGAAACTTTAAAGTCCATGAGCAAAGAAGATATATTTCACTAGTCGGCACCACCCGAGGTGGCATCACTTTTGAGCGGTGGTTCTTCTTAACCTGGGGTGCACGCAGCCCCTGGGGGTGCGAGATGCCCTTTCTGGGGGTACAAGATGTGGCCAGATTTTTCTTTTTTAGAAGGTAAATCGTCGAAACACATGAAACACGGGCACGTAAGTACAACTACTTTGTTTCATCAAACCCCTGTGTATTTATTGACTGTGTACCCTTGCACCCCTTTGAGAATCAAAGGGGTGCAAGGGTACAGTAAAGGTTAAGAACCACTGGTTTAGAGGGTTCCAGTTTTCTTTGTGCGTCGAATAACCGCTTGAAATGAGCGGCATTACACACGAATTCAGTCGTATTAGCCATGCAGTGTTTCATTGGTTGTCCTTCCCCGCCCCCACCTCCCCATTAGCACGGTTGGCTACCTACCGTGTAACATAAGTTCAACATACATATATACGTACATACCCAACCAACATACGATGAAAAAAACCATCCATAAAGTCCACATTTAGGCGGTACCAATGTCCGCTTTTAGCCCGTGGACTAAGCGTGCTTCAGGCAAGAGCGCAGGGCGAATTTCGAGACAGACATAGGACCCCTCACCCCACGTGCGTTCGAGAACACGGAGCAAGCTCCCGGACACACCACCGCCTACCGTCAACGAGGGCGGAGTTGACTTTGGCCGCTGGCAATGACGACGGACGGACGGCAAAGAGCGAACGCTCCTCATAGCAGCGCCATCACTGCGGAGATGGAGTGACGCGTTCGGCACGTGCGCAGGTGCCGGATGGATTTTATTTGGGTTTTTGCATCGCAGGAGCATGAGATATGTCGCCAGCTTGGGTGATGATTTTAATCCAGCGGTGGATTAGTAATTGGCTGTGTCGGGTGGTGGAGGGTTACGACACATTTATATTTTCGCGATCTAACCCACAAGCATTGATTATTAATAATATTGGTCGCGAAAGCCTACGTTGTTAAACTGCATTGATAATGGTCGACGATGTTTGTATGATCGCCTTTTTGTTGTTGTAAACATACACCGGGTTGTGTACGAAGCTGGCGGGACACCCAGTGATGTACTCCTTGTGCTGTCGGCCGTAAGAGAGGTGACGAATGCAGGCAATGCCCCTAGCCGATGAACTGGTTTTGTCTGCAATCATTTTCTTTGTGTGCGCGTGTTGTGTGGGTGCGCGCACGTCGCACCTGAGCATGTGCTGCATCACAGATGGATGATGCAGGTTCGTGTGTTCGATGAGATTACTCCAGTCTCAAGTTACACAATCAGAGGAGTCTGTGAGACATTTCGAGACCAGAAAATGTGTTACAATAAAAACAAAACGTGTTTGGAAAATACGTTTTAAAAGGCGCATTGATGTCGTAGTGTGCACCATGCACCATGAACCCGGTGACCTGAGTTCAAGTCCCGGCCACGGCTCGCATCAGTGGCAAATTATATCTGAACCAGTTGAAGGGGGGCCCACCACCACCTTCACCAACCTGTACTGACCAGCGAGGTGAAGTATGGTCAAACAGCCCACATGGCAGACATAGTGTAGACGGATCCTCGCCCAGCAGTGGATTTACAAAGGGCTGTACAGTATGAGGATTTTGAAACTTTAACAAACATATCGTTGTGTTTCGAATTGTTTTATTTTTTTATTTTCACATGGCGACAAAACCCGGTGGGCGTTCCTCTGTCAGCAGTCACAGCATCGTGGCTTTCATAAAAACGAATCGTGCCGTGTCGGTGACCAATGCTGCCCGCCGTGTCTCTCTGGAGCTCTTGAACCCACCGCGAATCCGCAACAACAACAACACCTGCTATTTGCAACGTTGTGGCGGTGATGTCACGATGGCGCTTGTGCCAAAGCTCGGTGCACTTTGAGGCCATGTGAAGTGTCGAAGGATAGCTGGCCGGAGGACACGGGACACACCCAGGTGCCATGGTTGACTGACTGAGATGACTGACAGATGCACCACCTGTGCCCCCGACTGTGCCAACTTGCTGTGTTTTATCCGCCCGGCACTCCGCTCGTTGTTGTGAGCGTCGCTCCTCTGCCCTCCGCTATTTTTGGAAGGCGACTGCCTGCAAGTGGCCAGTAGCATCCTTCACGAGCCTCCGCCTGATCTTGGCACCGCTGGTCCCAGTCATTGGCAAGTCCACTCAGCTCCATATCCTTCTATACCACATCAGCCCATCTCTTCTCTAGCCCATACCAGAGAAGAGATGGTCCACACACACACACATACGCTTGGGTTGCTGCCACCTATTTTTGAGGTACAAAGGAGGACATCGTGCCCCGAAATGTTGCTTATTATCTACTTTTCATTGTAAGGCCACAGTGTGATTGACAAATGTGTCGAGTCTTTTGTTATTTGTGGTCGTGCACCACTACCAATGGCCACTGCCAGCCATCGGTGAAAAATTCGTTGCAACAAATGTCTGGAACAACCATCTCACTGCCTCGCATTTAAATGATCACATGCCATGCAGTATTCAATCACAATTGTGCATGCATCTCAATTATTTTGTCTTCAAAACCAATTGTGAATGAATTGGCCATCGCTGCAGCAGTCGAACGATGTCAGTGTATGAAGCGGCTCGCACTACAATCTCTTACTCGCGTAATCCCTGCAATCGCCGGGCTGTGTGCCTGGCCCCTCTCTGCTTGAACCACAAACAACGCGGCGGTGGGATTTTGTATGCGCCGGGAATATTATTCACGTGAGAATGCACCCCGCCCGACCGGCGCAATGGGAATACGCCAAGCGGCACATGTTTCTCACGCGGCAGCATTGTCAACGGGCGGGCAGATGTGGTGCAGCGGTTTGTGCAGTGCGCGATTAACCTACCTGTCGACTGAAATTTTATTTTTCTCATGGCTTAATTACGTTTTTCCGATTTGATATCTGAACGAATTTCTGGATATGTTTTCATCATTTGCAAACATGCGATGACCAGTGTGGTGAAGTAGAGTCAAATAACCCCCACCCCCCCTCCCCCCCCCCAGAGCCACAGAGCGTGGAGAAGCCCCTACTAGCAGGGCTGTATTTGTAACAATGACGGCTCGGACCGGTTTCACTATCGGATGACCACTCCTGATTGACTTTCCCCAAATTGACTTAAGGCCACGAATGTGAAGAACCACTGCTCAACACACGTGTGGCAGGGGGAAACACTTTGGCTTTTTTTTGCTTATTGGTGCAGAGGATTGATCGGTATAGTTGACCTCCGACTGGGATTTGAACTCATGACCTGTCCGAGTCGGGCAATCTGCCAAGAGCGTCAGTGAGCCAGTTAAGCGATGATCGAATCGCACCAATTCTCTTTTTTTTTTACTTTACAAAATGCAATTCTATATAAATGACAATGCATTGAGAATGCTATTTTGTTCTTTCTATCTATAGTTTACCTAGAATATTCCACGAGGAGCGATCCATCGTAGAAGACCCAGATCGCCAAGCGTCACGGACAGAGCTGCAGCCAACCGGCCGCCGCTGCTCCAGCAACAAGACCCCGGGCAGACGCCATGAAATTTTCACACTGTGCCGCCCAGGAGAGACGGGACGGCGAGCCCCCGGGCAAGTCACGCACCGCCTTCCACGGCAAAGAACGCAAGCCCAAGAAGCCCCACTACATCCCGCGGCCGTGCGGAAAGCCCTTCAACTACAAGTGCTTCCAGTGCCCATTCACGTGCCTGGAGAAATCCCACTTGTACAACCACATGAAGTACAGCCTATGCAAGTACTCCATCTCTCTGGCCGAGGGCGAGTGGCCCGGCAAGAGGGCAAAGGTCGCCAGCGTCACCGTCGTCGGTCAGAGGAGACCCGGCGCGGTCGAGGAGTGCGACAGGGCGGGATCGGGCCCTGCCGGCTTACACCCGAGTGTCGAAAGCTGCTCGGAGATCAAGTGCTCCCTGTGGGAGAAAAACTCCGTTGGCTCGTCAGACCAGAATGGGCCAGATTCAGATGTGGGGGGAAACCTGAGATGGCTTAGGGAGCCGAATTGTTCCTTTTCCTCAGAGCAGGGATGCAAAGGCTTCCAAAAGTCACTCGACATCAAGTGGAGCCAACAGCATAAAACCCAGTTATTGGTGGACCCTGACAGAGACGCAGGACACATTTTATCGTCAAAGCTTTCGGAGTCGACTTCCACCAAGCCCAGCTCGTTCACAGTGGACCACTTACAGAGCAGCTTCAGCGCAGTAAGAGCTGCGGACGCCGACTTCTCTTCTCCGGCGTGGATGGTGACCGCGCAGCAAGCCAAGCCCCTGCTGCATGCCCCGGCCACCATCGCCCACAGGCACTCGTTCCTGTGCTACCCGCCGGCGCTGCTCGCCAACCTGGGAGGCGGGTTCTTGCATGACTCCATGAGCCCTCAGTACGTGTTCAACCCAGGCCCGTACCAGTGCCTGAGCACACTCATCGCGGGCCCTCCAGTGACGGGCAACCTCAACTACGTGACGCTGATGCCTCATGCGGCCGGGACGATGGAGCCACAGCTGCCCCAGGTCTCGTCCATCGGACGCTTCCAGACGGTGCTGCCAGGCCACCTTGACACGTCGGCGCCAGCGCACCCCGGATCGGAGGGGACGGTTCCGGGGAAACCGGACGGGCTCGCGAAGGAGCCGCCGGCCGCGGCTCGGACACCGGAGCGGGAGCCGCGCGGGAACAAAAACCCGCGAACGGCCACGTCTCCCGACGACGCGGGCGGAGATGAGAGGGCAAATTTCGGTTCGCAGCTGCGAGCCTCCGAGCGGACCGGGAACGGAATCGATGGTCACAACTCGCCGGTGGCGAAGGCGCGGTCCGGAGGCACGGCGAGCAAGCGGGCAGGACGGCTGTGTGGGAATGCTTCATCCCCCGGGCGGACGGTGAGGGGAGAGGGGCCGGTGCCGGCCAACGTGGTGCTGGATTCTTCGATGGGCCAGGATCATCGGAAATATTCAGGGCTCGTGAATTTTGGGCCCTCGGCGTCGAAGCTGCTGCCAGTGGGTAACGTTTGCAGGTAATTTTTTAACCAGTCTTGCTTAAATGTGTAAATGTTTTGTTGTTGCGCTTGGTGTGCCTCACATACCAGAGCAACTTTGAAGGAAATTAAGAGTTGTTGTTCTATTATTAGACTTTGCTTTGCCATGAGAATGTGAAATATCCATTATTGGTCAGTTGCCATCAATTGAGAAGCGTATTGCTCATTGTTTGATGGAGGCATTTTAATTTCATGACTTAGCTTAAAAATGGCTTGTCATAAACAAGCCATGAAAATATGAAAATACAAAATTATTACATTTTATTACACAACGCACGTTTAATTGAAAACTAATTTCTTTCGAACTGCTTTTGTGTTTAGTTTGTTGTCCTGCCCCCGCACCTCGAATTAGCCCGGTTGGCTACGTCCGGTACCACACCGTGTCCAGGAACTCATGAAACGTTAACGGTGCTAACCCTCGGTATGACTGTGCCCTGCGTCCAGGACGAGCCTTCAGCAGGAGTCACCACGAAGCGAGCCAGACACATGCCCTAGCCCAACGGTGACCTCCGCCGACCCCCTCAGCACTCCTCCTCCTGCAGCCGCAGCAGCAGAAGCAGCGGCAGCAGCGGCAGCAGCAGCAGCAGGACGCCTGTACGTGCCTAGACAGGACGACAGCCGCCCCCTTGACTACAGCGCCAGCCGGGGCCTTCTCCCGTTACTCAGTCTCTCCGGCTGCAGGAGGACGACGACGACGACGAGGACGGCGCCCTCGAGGAGGGCGGTGCTCGCCCAGCACGGGACGGCGGGCGGCGTCGCGGCCGCCCTAGCGGACTGCGGCGGCCCTCCCCAGGGTCACGCCGCCACGTGCCACCTGTGGGAGAAGCTGGAGAGGATAGGGAAGGAGCTGCACAGCCTGCAGGAGGAGCTGCACCACTCGGCGAAGCGGCGGAGAGGGAGAAGTCCCGTGGACCTCTCGTCCCGGAGCGATGGGGGGTCTTCACGCGCCACCTCCACCGACTGACGATGGTTCCAGACGGGGGAGACACGACAGCAACTAACGTCCGAGTACAGCAGCCATCATCATCGTCGGCCATGATCAATCCGCTGCTGGATGAAAGCCTCCCCAAAATCGCCGCTACGTCTCACGATCCTGCAGTGTAACGATTTCCCATGCACTGACTGCGTTGCTCAATCTACTTGAGAGGCATTTTCATTAGACACGTCCCTATTTTTTGGCTCCGATTCCATTACAAAAACTGACCATCGGCCATCATCCCTTACAGCGACGTGTGCGGCCCTAACCCACTTGCTGTTTGCAACAGCTTGGAATTACTTCATTAGTCAGCGTATGTTCTCTAATCCAAGCATCTTTCTCTCTCTCTCTCTTTCTCGATGTAATTCCAAGCACGTATCCTCCCAATGCTTCTTTGTGCACTCTTCGGTTTTTTGTAAAAAATATTTATCGTACGTGATAGCGATTTGTACGAGTTGATTAAACCCTTTCTTCTTTAGCTACATCGGTTTTGTTTACTTTTCATTCCCAAGTTCAGCTTTTCAAACGAACTCCAACCTGCTCTCGTTAGCCTCGTTTATGTCATCATTTTTATTCAGGAGTCTGTCTTTTAATATCTCTCTCCTGGGTACACACGCGAATTTGTGGTCTCGTTGTTGCCTCCGAGGAGGGGATATTTGGGTTGGACATCTGTGTACAAAAAAAAGCTTCATAGCTCTTCGGATTTTTCCCAGGATAAATAAATATTCAGATTCTGTGGAGGAGATGGGGAATCCTCCAGGCTTTTGGCCCTGTGGACACCTTCGTGGCCACTCCCTGGATTCTCTCCCCCCCCTCTCTCTCTCTCTCTGCCTGCGATGTCAGGATGTCTCGCGGTCACCGTCGCCGTGCCCCCAGTCCATGCGGTGTTCACCCGCTACCCCCGAGATCCGGGTTCGCGTCATGTCCCCGTCGTGTCCCCGCGGTGCTCTCCTCACCGCCCCCCCTTCCGTTCCCGATGCCACAATGCGGTTCGCGACGTTCAGAGTCTTGGGATGCAATTTGCATGAGGCTATATAACAATTTTAAATATATATTATATTTTACTGTGTTTTCCGGTTGCGTCTCTCTGACACACATCTCCACTTGTCTAGCACAACATGTTTTCTACCACCCCGTATATATGATATATGTGATCCTAAATAATAATTTACAGCACTTTATCAATCCGCTGCTGGACGTAGGCCTTTTCATACCGTGTCGATCGTGGGAGGTTCCTTGACGATACTTGGTCAACGCTGGTCAGTGTGTGTTGCTGAAAGGGGTGGGACCAGGACCAATTTAGATATCACTCGCCACTGATGTTAGCCGTGACCACGTGTGAAAGTCGGGTAGTCAGGTTCATGGCACAATAATGGGCAATCACTCCTGCATTGCACTGCCATAGTTAGACACGATCCTCACCCCCCGAGCCCCCCCCCCCCTTGCACCGACTGTGGTGCCAGCAACCACCCCATCCAAACATTTGAGCCAAGAGCTGGAAATGTAATAGGATGGCATTTATACCATTCGAACCTCTTTTGCCAGTAAAAAATATGATAATTGGTTTTTTACCCTTCTATCTGGCACCTTTTGGCGTCATCTGGTCCAACCCATGTGAGACTAGGCTCTAAGGAAAGCTGTCTCGGGTGTGGACCAATCAACTTCAAGGACAGTGCACATTATCAGAGTTATGTTTTTTGTTTGCATTATGACTGCAGGTATTGTGGTCTATGTAAACATGACTCCTTGTAAAAAAAGGTGTCAGTTTTGTTGCCAGATAAAGGGGTTAAAAACCAATTATCAGGATGGCATTTGCTGACACTTGTGGGTCACTGCTCACATCTGTGCAGAGGTTCGGATCATGGGAAAAATGTTCCCGATTCTTCCGGTTCACCGCTCGTATTTGTGCGGAGGCTTGAACCAGATAACGAGAGTTTTGTGAGAATACATTTTTGATGCGTGGCAAATCGGGACGTGGACAAAAGGAGTGTCTCTGTATAACACATACCATCACGGTCCCTGACTGCACGGTGTATAAACGGACAGTAGATCTGCGCGTCAGACTGTAACAACACCCGAACTAAACCCCACCTCGTTATTATAATCGTGTTTTCTAAGTGGCAGTCAATTACAGGCCTCGCGTCATCGTTTCTGAGAACTGCAGTTGAGGTCGGGGGCGGAAGATAAAAACAGACTTACCGTACATGCCAAAAGGGCAATTATCAGGCAAAGAGACAATTTGCCCATCCCACCTAACCCTCCAGACATTTGATAAGATGACACGATTATATCCCCTTGTACAACTTCAAACTATTTTTATTTTACCAGGTAAGGCTCACTGAGCTATATCGCTCTTTTTCAGGAGCGACCTGGCTATCACAAATGATAGCTCGACGAGAAATGGCTTCTCGCGTGGAAATGTCTAGCAGCCACATACTCTAAACACGTGATGTTGATTTTAAATGTGGAGGGAAACCGCAGAGGACCCGGAAAAAAATCCACACGACCACGGAGCGAACATGCAAACTCCAAACGTGCAGGTGTCAGGGTCGGGGTCGAACCCACGACCTCCTGTATACCACGCGAAATAGTTAACATCCCTCCACCGTGGCACCCCGTAATTTCCACAGCCGTTTAACCGTCTCGCCTGAACGATGTTTGTCCGTGCTATTAAGATAAACGCAACAGCGTGCCGTTTGCACGAGTCTCTGCTTCTATTGCAAGCGTTAAGAACCATCCTCAACGGGCAGATTTCGACGCACAGCAGAATGCCACGTGCTTCTCGTGTGAGCCCTCTCGATGATTTGTGTTCATTTTAAATCAAAAGAGACGCAAACGGTCACGAGCTGTAAAGGTTTTTTTTTTTTAAACGAAGATGACAAAAGTGGGAGTGCAGTATTTTGTGACGGTGCAGATGTGTGTGTGTGTACAGTATATATAGGTCGACTCAGCCTCAAATGAAGAGTACCTGGTGCTGTTTGCAAACATCGTCACAGAGGGAGACAAAGGTGGCCGGGCGTGGTGCTGGCCACCCATCCCCCCGTGTGCCGCGCCGGCCTTCATAGGTTGCTCCCTCGCTAACAGCGTTTTCCCCAACATTCTGTTCAAGGCTACACGGGGGATCTTTGTGTCACTACGGGATACGTGTATAACGCCTTTCTTAGGGAGGCGGTGTCACAGTCCATCCCATCATCATCACCACCACAACCACCACCATCGGTCACTTTCCTCTTCAATTCTATGTTTCCATGTCCTGTACTGCATTGACACTTGTCTTTCCGCTATCATAGCGCTGATCAAGTTCGGAATCGGAAATTGCCTCCCATGGTATTCCCCTCCCCCCCCCCAAGTTCAGTTAAAGAAACGTATTTAACTCGTATCTATTATGCAGCCATGAGGGCTGCTTGTTGCTGGCCGCTGGGCACTTTAGAAATGTTAGGGCCTTTGCTCAGCAACCGCATATTTAAAAAACAGGAAGCACACAATTTGTCCCAGTCCATCTGTCGGTATCCCGAGCGACTCTGAGTGTCACGTGTCACTTATCACGTTAACAGCACAACAGTAATTTTTTAAATTTATATTTCCAATCTGCCCATTACCTTGAACATCACATAAACATGTACGGCACAGAACCCTATCGCACATTTTTGGGAAAGACTACAACTTTTTTCGGTTTTACAACAATGACGACAACAATGACGACAACAATGACAACAATGATGATTGTCATCATCACAACAACATCATTGTTGATGACAACAATCATGATGACAACAATGACAACAGTGATGACGACTACGACGATAAACAACATTTTACTTGTAACAATAATAGTGCGTGACCCTCACGAATGTTTACTGATATTGTCTGTAAGGGTGTATGGCATATTCACGTGAATGCTTTGTTTACTTGTGGTAAGTTATCTAATTAAACATGACTGAAACATTTCACCAGAGTGATGTCATTTGTTGTTGTAAAACTTTCAGCCGGTAACCTCCCACTGCTGGGGGCAAAGACCTCGTCCGTTTTCTTCGCTTCTTATCATTCACTCCTCCCATTTCGTGGTCTCCGAAGTCTGTGATTGTCATCTTTCCCCACAACAACAACAGCCGCGGTGAGAGATGCTGTAGTTTTCACACCTGACGATGATTGCTTGTGTTGCAATCGAAACGTCGTGAGAATTTTTATTATGTTTAATTTTTATTATTTTATTACTTCCCTTCGACGTGACTTTACAGAAAGAACCAAGAATATGAATCCCTGCAGTCACTAAAGCTTTAAATCGAAATTTACAGTCGAAGGTACTTTAGAAAACCAAAGAGCAAAAGAGAAAACTTGCGCCTTGAGGCGGAATCTCGAACAACACAACACTGGACAGGTGGCTCAGACATAGATTGAGTGACTCGCAATCCGAAGGTTACAAGTTCAATCGCTGGTTGCGGGGAGGGGGGGGTCAACCCATCATCTCTCTAGAGTTGATCAAACGAGTACCCAATTTGAGGGGTAAATCGAGTGGCTGTCTTTGTGGATAGACTCACCCCTGCCATGTGAATGTGGAATGTATGCCACTGTATCAGGGCTGTAGACACAATATGTGCAGGACATCACTTTGAATTTACTACGTCACAAAAACGGCAACTTTTGTTTCCCGATGCCCCCTCCTTGTGACTGCTCATGACCGACCTCTGGTGCTTCTCTGTGCATGCCTGGGTCTCTGGGCCAAATGACTGCCTCGGATGTTACTCTGCAAGATGAGCATCATTCTCGGGGCTAAATATTCATGACCAAGGTTCAAGGCATCAGACGATGGTAGCCTAAACAAACTTACGATTAATTTAGCATCAAGATGTGAACATTTCATTTCCATTTCAATGTGCACGTGCTCGAAACGCACGATTCGCATTAATGAAGATTTTAAAAAATCAATGTAATTTTTTTAGTTTCTCTAAATAAACCCCACCAAATCTATGGGACTGGTAATTAAAATATCCGCATAAACAACAAACCTGTAAGGCACAGAAGATGAGAGCCCACAACCCCCACGCATGGACTGGGATCGCCGCAATCCTACCATGCATGCCAAAGTTCTGCGCTGGATAATTACACCACGAGCACTTTAAAGCAGCAAAATAGCACAGCTCATTCAATCACGACACATTTGCGGGCCCCTGGCTGTCTTCAAGGCCTGACCAAGTGTGCACCCTTTGCATCACGCTCCCATAAACACCGCAAACTTAAGGCTCACAGCCAAACTCTTTCGCCCAGAGCGCGAAGACTTCCCGTCAGGCTGGTTAGCAATAACCGAGCCGTGAGTAACAACGCGCTCTGAAATTCAATTTCCCATCCGCTGGCCGTGCCCATTAGTCAATGTCATTACAGGCAGCCCCATTCAAAAGTGTAACCGCAGACCCAAGGACCCCGCGACCGAGCCACGGTCACTTAATACCACGCGATCAGTGAAAAGCAGGCATAATTACATCTGAAAGTTGCCCACGGCACCCTACAGCCTTGCCCAAACTCCCCATCTTTGCGTGCAAGCCTCGGCTCTGTCAGTTGATTAAATCATTTTGCAGCTCAACTTCATTGTTCCCAAGGCGCAGCCCAGGGGGTGCTGGGGGGGTGATGTCTTGTTCAGACGTGTTCCCCCTCCCCTCGGTGATGGGAAATATGGTAAGGCAGTACGGTATTCATCGCCATCATTCCATCCCCTTCCAAGACGTCTGGTCAGCGTGGGGAAGAGTAGGCCAAATACCCGGCTAGAGTCGCCTTTCCACCAGCAGTGGCGTGAGAAAGGACTTGCAGGGCTGCACCTCTATCGGGTTTATATCGTTAGTTAGTGAAGTCACTGAGAGAGGGTCACGCAATGACGTGATGCAGTTATGGGAACAGGGCCTGTTGTCGGCAAAGTGGTGAATTTAAAGCCTCTTTTTGGTTCTTTCAGTAAAGTCATGTAGAAGGGAAATAATAAAATAATAAAAATAAAACATAATAAAATTATTACTTTATTTTATTATGTTTTATTTTTATATTATTTCCCTTCTACGTGACTTTACCGAAAGAACCAAGAAGATGAATCCCTGCAGTTACGAAAGCTTTAAATCGAAATTTAAAACCGGTTCAGGGGTCGAGTCAGCACATCAGTCTTCTTGGGTAGATGACGAAGTGGCTCACACTTTGTGAGAAGTTAACAGACGCGTAACGTAACGATGCCTCGACTGATTGATATTGATTGTTCAAACTCACGATACATTGCATGTAAGCGAATTTTAAACATTTTAAATATACGGTCGTAATTAAACTTAATCTGCATAGTTGAAATGCAAGATGTGACTTTAGTAAAGTGTGCATTGGCATACGGTCAGAGACTCAAGCAATTAATATTGTTACCTTACTGAAACACAATGGGTTGTCAACCGATTACCACCGAGTATTCCCAACTCCTAATTGCAATTACATAACTAAAATAGTAACTTTTGTCAATAGATTACTGAAGGTCGTTCGATTACCACGCGTAAGTTGAGAGGGTTATCCATACTTCACCACGCAAGTTCTTGTTCCGATATCACCAACAATGCCCCGCCGTGATCGGGAATCGAACTCGGGAGTGAACCGGGTTTACAGCGCGGCGGTTACTCGAATGTTTCGCCCATGCGTCGTACTCTCACATTACACCGCTTTTTCATTATAAAGTTGCTATCGATCTCATGGTCATTTGATGGGGATTAAACTCTCATGCGTAGGTTTCTACCGATGAATCAGCGATTGAATGGACCGTTTCATTTTGCGGGTCAGTGATGCCATCTGATGGTCAGAGCAGCGATAATGCAGATACACAATTCGACTTGTAAAGGGAAAACACGGAGTCATAAAAAAACGTTTTATAAACAAAGCTCAAAGCGCTGTAATGGCATTACCTCCTTTCATTGCACGTGTATTTATTATCTAGGGGTGAAACGATGTTTAGAAATTTTACATTGCGTTAACTATAGCGCCCTCTGGTGTCCGCGTCACGTGCACAACTGTTAATGAAATGAAAGGGGAATGTTTGGCTTACAAACTTCCATTCGGTTACTCAAGAGCACAAGTAAAACTATTGTGTACACAGATATCCCTTGCTTTATGCGGGTTAAGTTCGTGAAATTTCACGTGTACACGGCAAACCTATTTTTAGCCAAGAATCGCGATATGCAGTCGGAATTGAGACCTGTAACAACCTAAATTGTTTGAACGGAGGCCTAAAGGGTCAACTCGAATGTAACTTTCCCATAAGCGAGAACGTTGGCACGTGGCTGAACGTTGGACCTTACGGTAGCGAACCCCAACGGTGAATGTACTGGGTTGGTAGGATGCAATCAAGGAAGCTTGGAAAAGCTTTAAATAAATTCCCAACGGGCCACATCCAAGGGTTGCAAAGGTATCTTATACAAACATCCCACGTATAGCCTTAAACTGCTGTTAGCGAGCATCCATGAAGGCCAAAACGGCACACGAAGTGGGCGATAGGGCCCATAACCACGGCTGACCACCTTTGTCTTCCTAGTGACGTCTACACACACCAGGTACTCATTTGAGACAGAGTCCAGGACCGGTTCAAATAATCCTCACCTGGTGTTGACCGTGAGCAGGAATCAAACTCTGGTCGCCGGGTTCGTTGCACAGCGTTAACCGCTACACTACCGCTCTACACGCATCTCTATACAACCATCAATGAGAGCATCGCAGCCTTTTTGCTTATACCCTGGAAATATTCCACTTAGAAAACATCGCTTTAACAAGTCTTAAAATAGGGACGTTAAGTGTTTTACATTCAACTACATGGCAAAAACTGGCTTGCCTCCATGTTTAGGGCTGGCCCTGGGGTCAACAGAATGTGGAATTCACATGCCCAGATTGGAATCACCATTGGCAAGGAACACTACAAGTAACCTTTGAGGCATGTTTAATTCTTTAAATTGCATTTGTAATACCAAGTTACATTATCCTTCACTGCAATATACCCAACCCCACTGCTCATTATAATTGGTAAATATGGATAGGTTACAAAATGGTTCGTGAGCAGTTATGTACAATTAAACAAACTACAGTATTTGAAAAAGTGTCCCAATGCAGTTCACACGCAACTTTTTTTCAGAAATTACACAGGTTTGCAGAAAAAAAAGCAATGCCGTACCATTCAAATGTTCAAAACATAAAATATTTATTTTAAAAAATGTTTATTGTATCGTCACAGCACGCTTCCTGTATCATGTAAATGAGAAATTCCGAGAGATCCGACCTCGTATATAGACTGGTTGAGGGGGGAGAAGCCAGGGTGTATAACAAAGATCAACAACAGCGCTCTGTTGATGCATTGCTAGGCATGGTAACAACACATTCATCGTGTATTATTCAAAGTGCTCCCATCTCGTATCCGTGCAGCGCCACGTCACCACCAGCACCTACAGAAGAGACATTTCGTGAATATTGGAAAAAAACACCATCCGCAAGCAGAGCGCCTACACAAGCATCATGGCAGAGGGTTCACCAACTGCAATAAACATGAATTGCATGGCCTCATCTTTCACAAGTTTCTCTCCTCGGGTTGAAAATTAGTTTCAAACGGCCAATGCTACATTCACCACTGAACTTGTAGTTGTCATAATTCCAAAAGTACAAAATTCATTTTGGCAAGAATAATCCCTTAACGCTAAAAACAATATTTATTCAAGCAATTTAACACAGTTAACATTTCGGTATCATTTTGGCGAGCCAAGTAATTTGGGAATTTTTTTCTTCACATTTATACGCAACGAGAGGCTCTGCTGTACAGATCTCAGGATTGGTCAGAGAATGTCTCCTGCATGGTTTGTCTCCGCTGTCAGAGCCCAGGGGCTCGGGGAGTTGTAGGAATATACAGGAGGGCCGCCCGCACCACTCCCTCGCGAGCGGGGGCGACGTTTCTCTGTGCCGACGTGGAACGGGACCAGACGCCACGGAGCCGCGAGGACTCGGCGCTCCCATAACGCCACTCGGGGAGAGCCGGCGGGAGCAACCCGCCGGATCCCCTCGGCACGCACCATCATCATCATCATCAACAACACCGCTAACGGCTGCACCGCGCTAATACTGAGCCACCGACCAGACACGAGCAATTTGGATTCTTCTTCTTGGTTCTTTCGGTAAAGTCTTCTACGTGACTTTACCGAAAGAACCAAGAAGATGAATCCCTGCAGTCACGAAAGCTTTAAATCGAAATTTGGATTCTATCGCAATCTATTTACCACCCAGTCTGCATGCGTGACACATTGTTGCACAGCAAGATTTAGTCTGTTTACAATCTGGTATCAATTAATTGGTGACCGATCTAACAAACAAAAAACAAGGTTTCTGCAGAATCTACCAACGCCAATTCCCTTCACTGCCGACCTGGCACGGAGCAATTTGGATTCGACCGCTGTTGACTTCTAGACACCGGTCTGCATGCTTCGTGGGAATCCTCATCTGCTTTATGTACGATTCCTCTGCACACCAAAGCTTCGAAATGCCCTTTTCCTTTCAATCTATATTTAGAATCTTGTGTAATCAGATTCTTCAATTACCCGCACTGACCAGCATGGGTGAAGTATGGTCAAATAACCCCGACTACCCCACATGGCATGGGGGAGGTCTTCATCCAGAAATGTAATTAAAAAAGGGTGTAAAATAATCCAATAATCAGCACCAATTCCAAGATGCCACTCACCAGCTACACGAACGGCAATGCCAGCTCTTTCGATTTAAAGCTTTCGTGACTGCAGGGATTCATCTTCTTGGTTCTTTCGGTAAAGTCACGTAGAAGGGAAGTAATAAAATAATAGAAATAAAACATAATAAAATAATTCTCACGACGTTTCGGCCACAACACCTGAGGACGGCTGCTTGCGTTGTGGCCGAAACGTCGTGTGAATTATTTTATTATGTTTTATTTTTATTATTTTATTACTTCCCTTCTACGTGACTTTACCGAAAGAACCAAGAAGATAAAGCCAGCTCTGTTGCCACCTTGTGGCCTACAGCTCTTAGGGATTGTTTTGCTCACGGTGCATCACCAAACCAGATGACTGCATTTCCTGCATTGGGACAAATTCAAGTGTGGCCGTGCCTTTACAGAATAGGTACTTGCTCACAATGCAACCAATACCGCCTGGTAAAACAACTGTCAAAATACCACATCCATAACACACTATAACGACCCCTGATCAAGCCTTGCCACCCAGCTGTAACCATGCTTGAGGGCCCTTAAAAAACCTCAAAAACCCAGGCTACGTATGCTCACCCATCAGCACCTCCTGTCGGCGTTCTGAGCAGATGGCCCAGGGTGACGATCCGTGGACAGCAAGAGGCCGGGTGTGCTGATGAGGAAAATCAAAAAAACTCAAAATTAACACACAAAACCAAGTTAAATTCAGCAGTTGCATTTGCAAATGCAAAAACGAAATGTCAACGTAAATTCCTCACGCCACTGTTGGAACAAGGGCCTCCCCCACTAGAGGGAGCTCAAGAAAATACCGGAGGCGATCTTGGACTACTCTTCCATATTGGCGAGCTGTACAAGTATCAGAATGTTAACATTAATTCCAAGTATTTCTGCAACATACTTTAAAATAATCCAGCGTCTCATTCACCACCGACTGAACGCATTGACATTTTCCCTACAGAACGCAAGGCTGCGCTGCTGTAGCACTGCATCTCGGGGTTGGTTAGAATGTCTCCTGCATGGTTTGTCTCCGCCGTCAGAGCCCAGGGGCTGGGGGAGTTGTAGGAATATACAGGAGGGCCGCCCGCACCACTCCCTCGCGAGCGGGGGCGACGTTTCTCTGTGCCGACGTGGAACGGGACCAGACGCCACGGAGCCGCGAGGACTCGGCGCTCCCATAACGCCACTCGGGGAGAGCCGGTGGGAGCAACCCGCCGGATCCCCTCGGCACGCACCATCATCAACAACACCGCTAACGGCTGCACCGTGCTAATACTGAACTGCCAACTAGGCACGAGCAATGTGGATTTTACCGCTGTTGACTTCTAGACACGGTCTGCATGCTTGGTGGGAATCCTCACTCGCATTGTGCGCGCAGTGTCTGTGCACAGAGGCTTTGAAACTCCCTTCTGCTTTCAGTCTATATTCATAATCTTGTGTAATCAGATTATTCACCAACTTACACTGACCAGGATGGGTGAAGTATGGTCCAATAACCCCAACAACCCACATGGCATGGGGAGAGGCCTTCATCCAGAAATGCAATTACACAAAAGGCTGTATAATAACCCAATAATCCGATTCAATTCCAAGATGCCTCTCACTTGCTACACAAATGACAATGCCGGCACAACTTTATCATGCCCTTTCAGAATTGGTACTGCTCAATGCAACCAAATACCACCTGGTAAAAAATACTGTCGAAATACCACATCCAAAAACCACTATATAACGACCGTTGATCAAGCCTTGCCCCCTGGCTGTAATCATGTTCGAGGGCCATTGAAAACCCAGGCTACATATTCTCACCCGTCAATGAGTCTCCTGCCATGGTTCTCAGCAGATGCCCAGGGTGAAGATCCATGGGACAGCAAGTCAAGACAGCTCAGGTGGGCTGATGTAGAAACACAAACAAAAAATTAACACGAAGCCAAGTTAAAAATTCAACAGTTGCATTTGCAAATTCAAGACCAAAAAGTCAACAAATTCGGTCATACGAAGAACTATCAAATGGGTAATCGTTTCCTCACTCTCCTGTTGGAACAAGGGCCACCACGGAGAGGGAGATCAAGAGTACGCCATCGAGGCCATCTTGGACTACTATTCCATTCTAGTCAGATATCCAAGTATCAGAATTTGTTCATATGAATTCCAAGTCAGGTTTACAATTTCCACTCTGCAACATACTTAAAAATAATGCAGTGTCTCATTCACCACCGACTGAACCGCACTGACATTTTCCCTACGGAATTCGAGGCTGCGCTGTAGTACTCAATCTCAGGGTTGGTTAGAATGTCTCCTGCATGGTTTGTCTCCACTGTCAGAGCCCAGGGGCTGGGGGAGTTTTAGGAATATACAGGATGGCCGCCCGCACCACTCCCTCGCGAGCGGGGGAGCGGGGGCGACGTTTCTCTGTGCCGACGTGGAACGGGACCAGACGCCACGGAGCCGCGAGGACTCGGCGCTCCCATAACGCCACTCGGGGAGAGCCGGCGGGAGCAACCCGCCGGATCCCCTCGGCACGCACCATCATCAACACCGCGACCGCTGCACAACGCTAATACTGAGCCACCGACCAGACAAGAGCCATTTGGATTCTATCGCAATCCATTTACAGACCCACCCAGTCTGCATGCTTGACACATTGCTGCACAGCAAGATTTAGTCTATTTACAATCTGGTATCAATAATTGGTGACCGATCTAACAGACAAAAAAAATTGTTTCTGCAGCATCTACCAATGACTTAAAGTTGGCCATTCAAAAGCTATCCGATGCCAAATGATATTCTCTGCCTACCGTACTAAATTTCTACTCCTGTATTTGATTGACCACACAAAACCAAACGATAAATCAATACTTAAGTTTCAGTCACTAAATATAACCACACATCCAGCCAGTGTCTGCCACAATGTAGCAATCCGAGACATTAATGTACCACCAGGTCCTGTTTTTTAATCATACCTTGTGCACTTTTCACCCTTGGTCGTCACAAACAGCTATGAATGCCATGTGGTGTTGATCACGGCGACCTGACCCACAAGAATCCTTGATAAAACTTCCTAAGGAGCACGCCATCTGGAAAGAGAAGAATCACCAGTTGAGCTATACTTTCTCAAGTCTGCATCACATCGAGTATATGCTCAATTGCACACAAGTATAATTACATGTTATACCAGTTTTCCCATTCCAATTAGTAAAAACATGCAGCATCAGCACAATGAACTGATAACAGACATTACGTGTGCCTTACATGTTTTCAGACCGACTGGACACAAATCCCTCAATTGTTTTTTACCCCTTTTCAGTCATTCCTGAATGTATCACCCATGGGGGAAAAAACGATGACATTCGGAAAGAGCAACAGAGATTTCCAAAGTGTTTTTTTCTGTCGCATTACAATAAAAATCCGAGTGCCATTTCTGGTCAATTTGGAAACTGCTCACAACAATTGCTCAACACAGAGATGGGAAACTTTAAAAAGCTTGTTCTCCATGGCACCAATATCCCTGCCAAAAAAGCATCAAAATCCACAAACTTTCAGATTGGATGGCAATTGACGCGCCATGGACTGGACCCAGAAACGAGGCAACATTAGCTCACACAAAGCAGCAACAGTTTTGTATGTGTAAACGTTCATAATAAACAAACCTTTCAAATTACAATAGGTCGCAAGTTTACAAACAATGTGTGCTAGTTCTCTCTATCCGTCTCATCTACCAGCAAATTAACAAACACATTTGTATTCAAAGTTTGAGAGAAGTTCGTGAATAAGCAGTGACCTAGTAACGAAATGTAGCTTTACAACGCCATTCGAGAGCATTAATAATGCAAGTCAACAACTAGAGCTCCCTCCAGTGGAAGCCTTTCGACCAGCAGCACCATGATCAAGCAATTGCAGGGCTGCTCCTTTACCTTAAGCTAGATCGATACAAAATACATTTTTAGTGTCAATTATTTATCGTAAGAATCTCACCCGCCTAAACGTTCGATTAAAAATAAATGTCAAAATATATTGCGACTTTGACCAATTCGACATTTGTATTGTGCAAATCGTTACCACCGGGACAATGGTTCATAAAGTAACCACCCTCTTATTTGCCAGAGAGCCAAGCCAGGTTTGATCCGTTTCAGTACTGCCAATACATTTGTAAGCCAGTCCCATTTCACCGCAAACTTAACATTAACATTTCCCATAAACAAACGAGAGGATGCGGCATCTCCCGGGGGGTTGTGGTTCGTGAATCTGTCTCCTGCATGGTTTGTCTCCGCTGTCAGAGCCCAGGGGCTGGGGGAGTTGTAGGAATATACAGGAGGGCCGCCCGCACCACTCCCTCGCGAGCGGGGGAGCGGGGGCGACGTTTCTCTGTGCCGACGTGGAACGGGACCAGACGCCACGGAGCCGCGAGGACTCGGCGCTCCCATAACGCCACTCGGGGAGAGCCGGCGGGAGCAACCCGCCGGATCCCCTCGGCACGCACCATCATCATCAACAACACCGCAGATTGCCTTCACTGCCGACCTGGCACGGAGCAATTTGGATTCTACCGCTGTTGACTTCTAGACAACGTTTTTTCGGTAAAGTCACGTAGGTCAAAAAAAAATAAATTAATAAAAGTAAAATAAAAAAAAATTACCTACGTGACTTTACCGAAAAAACCTAAGAATAGGAATCCTTGCAGTCACGAAAGTTTCAAATCTAGAATTCTAGACAACGGTCTGAATGCTTGGTGGGGAATGCCCATCCGCTTTGTGCATGTGCGGTGTCTCGCTGCACGCACCAAAGCTTCGAAACTCCTTTCTCCGTTCAGTCTATTATTTGGAATGTGGTGTAATCAGATTCTTCACCAACCCGCACTGACCAGCAATGGGTGAAGTATGGTCAAATAACCACAACGACCCCCATGGATGCATCGGCAGGCCCTTATCCAGCGAGCAACTCGCCGAATCCCCAATGCAATAACCATCAACATCACCAACATCACCACCGGTTGAAGCAATCTGATTTTAAAACACACGGACACCTCATCTTTCTCTCAAGTGTTGTAAACCAAAAAAAAGTTTACGGTGGCTTTTTGGCATGTGACCACACTGGACTGGCTTGACCAAATTTGACAATTTCCAGCAAACCACTCCAAACTGGCAGACCGCTAATACTGCCCCGTGTGCAGGCCTGGTACCTAATCACCTGGTGAGGGCACAGGAACTGCTGCCACCGAATGCCCCGGGCGTATTGGGTTGCTACATCAAACACAAACCAGTGTCAATTTGACTGGTTTAGGCGATTAGACCAAGCTTGTTCATGAAATCCATTAGGACTGGTTAAAAATCCCCGTTTCAAGTTGTTGGCCACGCGATAAAACAGCTGTCCCAGGATGTGATATTAGTGCTGGGTAAAGCCAATTCTTTAAATTGCAATAACCCCGACTAGTGCACTTGACACACGTGTTGCGGAATAAGCGAAGTTGGCCACAGACCACGTGGGGACACTGTAGCGCGCTTTTTCACAGATGGGTAACGGCTCAGGGTCGGTGTTTGTAATAGTCCAAGGGCTTGCTTTGAACTTAAGCGCAATTGGTTTGGTTAAAATGCACTGTTAAGCGCAAAGCTATACGATTAACCAATGTTAGTTTTTATATCGACGCTTAGGCCAAAGCCACAATTTCCAATGCAATGGCCACATGGCAAAGGTTCATGTGCGTCATCGCAAATCGCTACCTACTCCGATTAGTCATCTCGCTCACTCTAGCTCGCTTAATTACATCCATCACGCTTGAGGCCTACAACTCCGTCCAGGATACACATGCATTCGTGTTGCGGCCGCCGTACCGAGACTAGCGTTCCAACTTTCCGTGAATCCACTGCAGGACTCTCTCCCCCCCCTACGCCGTATGGGTCCTGGGGAATCTACGCCCACACACCTCGGCCACGCTACGCAGTACGGGGTTGACGGAGGGACCAAGCTCGTTTCGTAGCACTCGCCAACCACGGTAATAGCCGCGGTTGCGAAGCGAACTCGGGTCGGCCGGGTTCAAAGCGCGTCTAACCACCACGCGCACTTAAGCACCCAATGCTTTTACCCACATCGTAAGACCATTAAGCCCGCGCGTATCCAACGACCTTTCCAAAGCCTCCACCGATACACTCTGTTTCCGAGTTACCGCATGTTCACGATATTATCATAACCGCCTTGCAACACACACTGCGCGCGGTCTAATCGTAATACCTTGCGCCACGTGCGGGTACAGTGCGGGTACAGTGCGGCCACGTGTTTGTGCAGCCCAACCAGCCGGCTCGCGACAGACGGCCCCGCGAAGCTTCGGGAAAGAGGGCGGCTCACATGAGGGCGCTGCCTTTTATAGAGCGGCGCCGGGGGTGGGGGCGTGGTCTTGCCGAATGGGGGAGGGGGGCGTGGTTTACACCAGATGTGGGCGGGGTCAGCGAGAGCGCGCGCTCCTATTGGTGGGATGCGGGGGGGGGGGTTGGGCCTTGCCATATGTAGGCGGGGTCAGCGAGAGCGCGCGCTCCTATTGGTGGGATGCGGGAGGTGGGTGGGTTGGGCCTTGCCGTATGTAGGCGGGGTCAGCGAGAGCGCGCGCTCCTATTGGTGGGATGCGGGGGGGGAGTGGGTTGGGCCTTGCCGCATGTGGGCGGGGTCAGCGAGAGCGCGCGCTCCTATTGGTGGGGATGCGGGGGGCCTTGCCCGCGTGTGGGGGGGGGGCCGGCACCGGATGTGGGTGGGACCACTGCGAATGTGAGCGCCGTCTTCTCGTGTAGGCGGGACTAGCATCGGATGTGGGTGGGGTCAAACACTGCCCCCCTTAAAGTTTTATTTCAAGATTTCGTGACTGCAGGGATTCATATTCTTGATTCTTTCGGTAAAGTCACGTAGAAGGGAAATAATAAAATAATATAAATATATCACATGACTTTACCGAAAGAACCAAGAATATACTGCCCCCCTTCATTAAAATAATCACACGATCATCATGTGATCTCCTTTGTCAGTACCAAAATATGATAATAGATTTTCCCCCTTTTTTTGGCAACAAAACCCCGAGCTCTCATTACTCTGAGAGTGCGTTGTCTTTGGACTGTAAGCCTTTTGGCGTCCTCTTGTTTAACATCGTTTGAGACGAGGGTCAAAAGAAAGCTGTCTCTGGTGTGGACCAATCAGTTTCAAGGACAATGGATAGATATATTATCAGAGTATGTTTTTTGTTTGCATTCTGACCACAAGCATTGTGGTTAATGCAGACATGATTCCTTGTGAAAGGTTTCAGTTTGGTGTGTTAACATCTTAACACCTGTTTTGTCGCCAGAAAAAAGGGGAAAACCCTATTATCATATCAATCACACGATCTTCACACTTCCTCTGTAAGTCCACGTGCAGAATAAATGTTTTGGAAAAATTAATAAATATACACGAATAGGCCCACGATCGACGGGACCTGGACCGGCTTTTTTTTAATGAAATGTTGAAACGTCACGCGAGACGAGTCTGTGTAGACAATGTGACTTTATCGAAAGAACCAAGAAGATGAATGTCAACTCGTTAGACTTCGTAGATCCGAAGATATTAAAGCGTCAACGGTTTGAACGAATATAAACAGACAACAGGGCAAGTTCAATGAAAGTGTGCAATGGAAATTGCACTTCCTTATGTCGGAGTGAACGGGTTCGGCAGAGGCATTGGTTTAGCAGAATCAGAATCGTTATTCATACTGGGGCAATCCGATTGGCTTCAAATCTTTTTTCCCACAGATGTCCAGTAGACATCTGTAGAAAGGACACACGCAAACTCTGGAGGGGTTTCGACTTGCAGTGGGTTATCAGCAGAGTCCAGGCGTTTCTTTAATTAATGATGCTGATGAACTGGCAGATGTGTCCGGTATAGATACGCACACTCTTTGAACTAGATTCAAAACTTTCGCGAATGCAGGAATTACTCTTTGGTTGCACACTCTTTAAGATATGGGTCGACGCAAAAGTATATAACAAATAACAATACCATTATATCTCGTTTTACCAAGCCTAACGTTGCTGATGAGACGCAGAAAGTCGAAACCGGCCCAGTCTACTTGCATTATAACCAATTCTGTTGAAAATTCCCAGAGGGCCGTGTATCACAATCGCAATATTTATCCTGGACAAATCCGATGAGCTATGAAGCTCTTTTTCCCCATCCATTATTATTTTCTACGTGAAAAGACAAATAGGGGCAAAGGAGGGCAATTGTTTGCGTGTTTACTTTGTTTATCATATCGAAGAGGAGGGGGAGGAGGATGGGGCGGTGCTGAGCGGAGCACCACCCCCTCGACTCTCCCCCTCCGCTCCCTCTTGCGATCCCGGGCTGAAGCTGCAGCTGCAGCAGCAGCATCATCATCATCAGCAGCAGCATCCTCAGCATCATCTGCCGAGGATGCGAGAGTCATGGGCACCCGGAGCAGCCCCGCCAAGGCGTTTGACTACCTGCTCAAGGTTTTGCTTGTTGGCGACAGCGACGTGGGCAAGGGCGAGATCCTCGCAAGCTTGGCCGGCCCCGGGGAGCAGGCGGGGCAGCAGAGGGGGGCAGCAACCGGGCAGCAGCATAGCCGCCCCCCACGGCAGCTGCTGCAGCAACAACAACAACAGCAGCAGCAACAGCAGCAGCAGCAGCCGCCAGAACACGGGCCAGACTACAGCAGTGGCGTGGGTGAGAGGCGTTGGCATCATGTCAACAGCATCGTCAGCATCATCATCATCAATCATGTATAAGTTATTGATCATCATAACGTTTTGGTGTATAGTCAATCAGCAGCAGCATCGTGTATAGTCAACAGTTATGTCCATCATGATCACGTATAGTAGTTATTATCAGCAACAGCAGAGCTGCCGGGATCATCATGTGTAGTCAATCATCATTGATAGCTGTTCAATCATCAGCACCTGCCAGCAGCATCATCGTCATGTATAGTCAATAATCATCAGCATGTATGCGGTCAATTATCGATATCATCAGCATCATGTAACATAGAGTCTATAATGATCGGAACTATAATAATCAGAAGGATCGTTATCAGCATCGTCATGTTTAATCAATCATCTCCCACATCAACAGGAGCAGGAACTATAATAATCAGAAGGATCGTTATCAGCATCGTCATGTTTAATCAATCATCTCCCACATCAACAGGAGCAGCTGGCAGCATCATCATCATCACACGTCGTTATCCATCATCCGGAGTAAAGCTTCATCAGCAGCAGCAGCATCATCATCAGTAGTCACAGAATCGTTTGCATCATCATCACCATCAGCGTCATGCGCGATTCTACCACGCGTCGCAGCATCCCCCCTCCCGCCCCCCACGTCGAGTCCATTGATCGCGACGATGACCGATCCGTTTCACCGCCGCAGACGTTCGCCGTGGCCCGGCCGTGTGGTGCAACCTCCACGGGCCGACTCCTTCGAGTGACGGGGCCGGCCGCACGCGCAACGGCGCCCGTCACGCGCAGCGCATGAGCACGTGGAGGGGGGGGGGCAGCTGCTTTGGCGGTGACGTTGTTGTTGTTGTCGGCGATTGTTTTACGCTGTCCCTTTGTGACGTCATCTTGATTTGAAGCTTTCGTGACCGCAGGAATCCATACTTTCTGGTTGTTTTGGTAAAGTGAACTCCTGCAGCTATACGACTCGACAAAACCTCCCCCCCCTCCCCCCTCCCGTGTCTATATAAAGCCAAAACAGCAGATCATTATTTCTCACCTGATGACGGACGCTCGTGTTGCGACCGAAACGTCGTGTTCTTTTATTACTTTTTTCTATCTATGTGACTTTACCGAAAGAATCAAAGAGTTTGTGACATAACTGCTCGTTTTGCCGTATTCTCCGGGTTGTAAGATGTTTAGCAGAGTTAAGAGATGCCTCCCCCAAAAAAACCTGTGCTCGGATTCAATAAAGTTACGTGAATGTCACGCGTAAGACAAAGGCAGCCCCACCACCCACCCCGTATAGCCTTTCACGGACCATGGAAAGTGTTGTTAGCGAGCACCTATTAAGGCCGGCACGGCACACGAACGAGGAGGTGGGTGGTCAACGCCACGCCCGGACGCCTTTGTCTCCCCAACGCTGATGTTTACACACCGCACCGGGTACGCATTGAAGGCCTAGTCGAGCGTGAGGAGGTCCTGGCACCGGTTCAAAATATTCGCCACTGGAATTGATCGTGAGCGGGAATTCATCTCGGTTCGCCGGATTGGTTGCGCAGTGCGCTGACCGCTGCGCCACCGCTCCCCCCACACACACCCACACGCGTACTGAATCATAAGACGCACTCCACCCTCTTGCTTTAAAATACCGGAGAAAATGTTTGGGTGTGATCATCCGGACAACACAGCAACGTATGTAGTTTATATTGAACTCCTTTCGCACCGTATGTAGTCAAAGGCGCTGTCTTACAGCATAGCTTGAGTATGTAAACTTGTCGGTCTGCCATTGCGTGAAGTATGACTTATCGGACACGTGTGCCCAATTCTTATAATATACTGCATTAACAATCCACTGCTGGATGAAGAGGCCTTCTCACACCTTTCAGTTATTTGGGTGTGTTGACTATACCTCACCACACTGGTCAGTGCGAGCTGGTGAATGGAAGGCACAGAACCGGTTTAGAGATCGCAGAGCACTGATTTGTTAGCCGCAGCTGGGAATCAAACTCAAGGGACTGAGTTCATGGTGTCATTTTGTTAAATCTTCACTCACGCAAACCCGGGCGTTAGAGCCGTGGCACGGTGGTTAGTGCACTGCAGTTTCAACACGGCAACCTGAGTTCGATTCCTGTCGACAGCTCACATCAGTGGCCGGTTATTTATGAACTGGCCCATATATTTGAACGTACTGTACACTATTCAAACAACCCCCGTGACCAGAGATGACACGAGGAGGCCTTCATCCAGCAGTGGAATGTCCAAGGACGGGAAATATGTAAATTTTTACTCAAATTGGCCCAGTACTGACCTGTGTTCTCTCTCTCATTGCCCTTTAACTGCACAGTCGTTTATTTTCCACGTAATTTAATCACTGTCATGAGTTAAGGCGCCTGGTTATTTTTGTACTTAATAATGCAAGGGCACACGCGTGCGTGACACCTAATTTACGCACGTTATAAGGGAGGTGGCAACATGAATCGATTGACGTTATGTCCGCCACGTAAGTAGCAATAACACTCGAAGCTAGACGTTCCACACTGACAATCAGAATTTCACAATCTATTCAGATAGATGATGGTTATCTCTCATCGACCTATCACCTATCCATCAGGTATTTAGCAAGTTATGTTTTCACACAGGCTGCTTGCTATGATACTGGCCCAAGTTACAATTGAAAACTGACCGTGAGAGAATGTTTTTTTTTTTAAGTAGGATCTACACATGGCAAAATCGGGCCAACGCATGAGGTTCGATGTAAAGGTACTCGTATTGTTCCATACTGGACCCTTCCATAGCAACATGGAATGTGCATCAATGGCTCAGAGAGCCCTTGACCAAGATGAACACTGCATAACGCTCCTGTGAGCAAGGCTTCAACATTTCACTTGGACTTGACTCGTAAAATACAATTGAGTTTGTTGTTTTCTCGCCCACACACAGGAGTGGATTGCAAAACGACGACCATTCTTCTCGACGGGCGGCGCGTCAAGCTGCAGCTTTGGTGCGAGCAGGGGTGGTTTCTTCATTAGGGCGATTGGGCGACACACCACCAATGTCATTCAACCACAGAGTCACGCTAGCCGTCACTGTCAGCCTCTGGATATAGTCCAATCAGCGTCATGTCACGTTCTGTGGAGTACCGCCTCTTTTTGGGCGATTTCACTCCGGCTGAGAATCGCCCCGAGTGGCCCCATAGACTTACATTCAAAGATGTTTTTTTTCGAACGGGGGGCGCTGTAATGCATTCTCTATGGCTTCCGGGAGGGCTCGCCCTAACGTGCTTACGTCATCATACGTAAGCACGTTTCATCCAACAATATAATTTGTCGCCACCTAGTGGAATCTTTAATAAAAGAAACTTGAGTGGATTGTATTAATAGTGAGTATAGAAACAAACAAGATGTATTGTAAGAGTCACTTTATTTTTCATTAATATTAAAGAAGTGAAGTTGCCTTTACATGCTTAAGCTGTTAATTTATCCATTGCATGGGTGGACCTTATCCTTATCAATCATCCAGACATTTGCCCCCCCCTGAGAGATTTTGCAGGAGCCGCCACTGGGTGAGACCCCAACTTCCGAGGGGGAGCTGTGCAGGTCATTAGTTAGATGTGAGACCGTGCGTGCATTCTAGGGTTCGTGTGCGGTTGCAGGAGTGTAATAATAAGCGCACTGTGCTACGAGCCCGACGACCTGCGTTCAATTCCTGCTCACGGTCAATACCAGTAACGGTGATCAGAACCAGTCCTAGGCCCTCCCCTAGGTCGACTCGGCCTCGAATGAGTGGCTGGTGCAGTGTGCAAACATCGCCACTGGGGAGACAAAGGTGGCCGGGCGTAGTCCTGGCCACCCACCCCCTGCTGTGCCATGCCGGCCTTCATCTGTGCTTGTTAACAGCACTTGCCCCAACAGTCTGTCAAGGCTACATGGGGATATTTGTCTTGGTCGAGGGTTCATCATCATCGTTGTTTAACATTTATTGTGCGCCTCCCATGCGGTACATCTCAAGGCACCAGAGCAAAAGGGTGTTTGAGATAATTACGCAACAAGGCAGGGACTGCAGACTAACCTCACGTAACGTGCACTAAAGACGAATTACCTAAATTATCAACAGAAGGTGTATATCGGATTAATTGTGTATGTGGCAGATGCTATATTGGACAGACAGGGCGTAACGTTAGTGTAAGACTAAAAGAACACCAGAGAAATATTAAACTATCACAAACACAACTGTCGGCAGTAGCAGAACATGCATGCCAACAGGGACACTCAATTGATTTTGACAACGTGGAAGTGTTGTGTAAAACTAGTTACTACTGGCAAAGACTAATTAGAGAATCGATTGAAATTGAGAGAAACAGAAATAACTTTAATCGCTCAGACAGCTACAGGCTTAGTGCGGCCTGGAAGCGTATTATTAAATAAGATACATTACAATTACTTATAAGGGAAACAACCACTAACTGATTACTAATGTAGCATAATCACAATAAAACACATTCCAAATGATTACTAATCTACAACTCGCATCGTAACAATAGCCTGATTACTAATCTAGTATATAATTACAATCACTCCCCCCTTGAATCTTTGCACCTGATGAGTTGATGAGTTAATGATGACGTCACCCTGCTGCTGCTCTATATAAGAACGGGAGACAGCAGAGCCTCACCATTCTGGCGAATTGCCCGATGATGCTGGTTGCAATTACCAGCGAAACGTCGTACTCAAATTGTAAATGTTGTGGCTTCAACACACCGGTGGGCTAAAGCAGTGAACTATTTGTCTTTGTCAACGTGACACATTTTAACTGATTGGCCGTGTCGGGTGGTGGAGGGTTACGACACATTTATAAATAAACGCGATCTAAACCCAAAAACGTTGATTATGAATAACATTGGTCGCGAAAGCCTACGTGTTAAACTAACCTCACGAGGTCACCACGAAATGGCGATACGGTGATATCGCATGCGACATTAGGTGCATAATAATTGTATCGTCAGTTTGAAAAAAAATCGTTATATCGTCATTCTCCTCCTCGTGTCATGAAGCCCGATAAGTTGAGTGAAATAACACGCTCAACATTTCAATGTATGAACAAACACGGCAGCAATATTACCCATGAAACACGCTTGTGTCCATGCTAACAACGCAATGTGCGTCAAAAGTTTTAGAGTGAACCATGTATTTATTTGTTGATTGCACAACTCACAGGACGTGCGCTGTATAAGCTGCATTGTCGATGGAAGATTGCAACGATAATTATCAGAATTGTGCCAGGGGTATACTGCGTAAACTGCAGCTAAATGCATTTTTTTAGTATTCACACGGGAAGTACAACAGGGCACAACAACAACAACACTGAGCTCTCGCTTGTGGTAGCCAAGTCGCTTCTGAAAACAAGAGCTGTGGAGCTCAGTGGGCCTTACCGGGTAAAATTTTAGTTTGGTTTACTTTCAGTTTATTAATTAGATGGCCACTGTTGACTTACCACATAGCGATACTCATTTTACAGCCCCCCCAAAGGGATGATAGGTGAAGTCGTCCCCCGACCTCGCTTGCTCGTTGAATACAATTACTGTAGCGACGCTATTTGTTCAAGGGTGTTTGCGTGCAAGATTTCACCATCAGACGTCCTAAGCAGATGTAATTTGCGATGCCACGGTGGATGTAAATCAGAGGTCGCAAACGGGTTTTGATTCCTTACCCGTAACCGGCCGCACCAGGGTCGCAAACGGGCACCCGTACCCGTACCCGGCCGGGTACGGGTAGCCGGGTATCGGGTAGGGTACGGGTATCGGGTACCCGGTTGAGACCTCTGATGTAGATCCAAGACAATGTTCCGTAATCCTTTGAACGCACCTGCAGCTGTGTGGTTATTAAAAAAAAACGTAAAGTCACCGCTGTTACGCTGAGAAACAAATGAGCGTTTGCGACTCATTAAAGTGAATGGGCCATCAAAATCAGTGAGGTTATTACGTTTGTCATTTAATTCCTTCATTGCGTTGCAATTTTGTGCCAATGGCCGTATACCAATGAAAAAAACACCCGGGCTGGATTCCATTGCGCGGCGGTCGCGCGTGTCGACGTTTAATCTATTGATGGCCTGCGGACAATGTAATTTACAAAGTAATTCTGCGTATTTGGCAATTCGCGGAAAGCTGCTGCACTGTCGAACCCTAAATCCCCCTTAAACCTGATGCAGCCGTGCACATGCGTGGCATTTTTAGCATTTTACATTGCCATCCTCGACATCACTGCTCCCATATATTTCAGGCGCTCATATACTGCAGTATGTTATTCTAGAGAGAAACAAAATCGGCGTAAATATTTAATGACCTTTCAATATCAGTATGCTTTTAACCTTTTGCAGTTCACGTGTGGTTGAATTTGTAAGTAGGGCATTGCATAGCTTCGTGTCAAAAATAGAATTACTGGAGAAAACAATAACATATACTTTCAATAACTACACCTGAAAATACAGCTTCTATTTTCTTTAATATGAATATAATAACAATTGGAAATGTATTTTCAAACAAACTTGAGTGCATTATGAACATTGCTTTATAGCAAGATAATCCAGCCCAATATATAATTTTATCAGCCTGCCTCTCTAACTGTAGTAGAGTCTTATTGACATCTTTCCATTGCGTCTGTCACAGCTGTTGTGGCTAGAAAAGTCTCATTAACCCCTCTGCTGGACCCACAAGCATTTGTGGAGTTAATTCCCGATTATCCGTGGGCGGATTATCTAAATTACGGAGTAACCGCGCTTGTGAATAAGTATAACCCGTAAAAACAAAGTTTTTCACTATAAATCCTTTATATGCGTGGCGGCTAGAGTCCTCTCGTCCTCTGGCATGAGATGGCTGCCACCTATGGGTCAGATGATTGCATTGCACCATTAAGCAATTGGTAATTAAATATAATATTTTTGTCCTAAAAAGTGCAAATTTTTGGAAAAAAATTTCACGAACATTAATTGTCAAGCACAACGAGGCTGTGTGGAAAATGTCAGCTCAATTGGGTCACGGGAAGTGGGTTAGAAAACGACCGAAAGATTCGCACGGTCCTAAGCAAGCGAACTTAATATAAAGGATTTAAAAATAATTAAAATACCGTGCCATTTCGAGTGCTCTGGTTGAACTATTAGACGCTCCTCACTTATCGTGGGTCAGAGATACAGTGACATGCCACGACTGCATTATCCGTGTTTTTAGTTTGTCCAGTCCACCCGCACTCTCATTACCCCGGGTAATCGAGGGTAACCTCTACGTGCGTTTTGCAGGGACACATCGGGACAGGGCAGGTTCTGCACGATATTCCGGTCCTATTCCAGGGGAGCTCAGGTACGCCTAGGAATCACATAACATGTCACACATACATGCACCACTCTAAAGCAATCATTAAAATTTTGCCCGTAAAGGTGTTAAGAAAGTATTTTTTATTAGTAGGCAGTTTTAACTGTGTGTTAGGAACGTTTGCAGTGCATTTCTTGTATATGTTTGAGTGATAAAATAATTGAGTGATCTTTAACATCACCTAGGAATAAGATTTTAAAGGCAGTCTCGATCCAGACGAACACTTGGGACTCTCTCAAATCTCGGTACGATCTGCGTCACCAACGCAACCATGAACACGTGGATTTTTAGACGGATGAGACCAATACAATAACTATCTTCACACTACCAAGCGCGCGCGTTTGTGTGTGTAATTTATCGACCTAGATTTTTTAAAGTTAAAGGTGCAGCCCTGCAATTGCTTGCTCACGTTACTGCTTGGGGAAGAGCCTTCACTGGAGGGAGCTCTAGAGGGTATGTTGGCTAACTCTTCCACGCGTTCCAGATATTGTGTAAGAAGTTTGAGTACCCACACTTTACCCCACCACATGCGGCCCACCAATCGGTGCTCCTATTTATCCTGCCGGGTGAACATGTGCGGCGGGATTTATGAAACATTCACGGTGGATTCCAAGTCCACGTCGCAAACCATGACTCCACAACCAGCTCAAACTGGCTGTCTAATAATAATTATTGAACAATGGACGCATGATAACTTTGTGGTAACCCTCTGTAGCATGGCTCTTAGTTCTGTGGCAGCACTCCGTTCAAAAGCTGCCAGGATACATTTACAGCATTAAGGACACAGCACGTGGGCAATGTTGACATGCGCACAGAGTAGCTGTGCGTTCACTCGGACGCTGGTCGTTGTGTGCGCACCAGGGTATTCTGCTCGTGTACGATATAACGAGCCGCTGGTCCTTCGACGGAATTGACAGGTGGATCAAGGAGATCGAGGAGGTGGGTACTCACGACGTATTCACGTCAACAACATAAATTATGCACCGGCTCTTTACAAGCCGTGACGTTGCAATGCGGAATCCATCATCCATAGAGTCGCACTCTGAATAAGACGTTGCACTTAGCCATTGCTACTTGGCGAATCTATTTTTTTTGTAAAGCATTTTCGTTATTAGTTAAAGCAGACCACGTCACTGGGGGGGGGGGGGGGATATCGATCATGTGTTTTTTTTTACCAATGAATGATGAATCCAAGGTAATGGCAAGGTTCTGACTACATTCTAGTTAGCGGTTAAACTCAGCCCGTTATTTCCCTTACAAAAGATGTACCAGTCGGTGATGGGAACTCAATCATGGCAAGATTGGCTCCCACCGTTATTTTCCCATCCCTTTCTCAATCCACAGCTGGATGAAGGTTTCCCCATGCCACATTGATCATGGGGGGGGGGGGTGTTATTTGACTATACTTCACCATTCTGGCCAGTGCGTGATAGTGGAGGGTTGTAGGGGGGGGGTGGCAGTGGTGCTTGTTCACGTATCACTCGCCACCGACGTTCGCCACGGCTGGGAATCAAACTCGGGAAAGGGGTGGTAGGGGAGAGGAGGGGGGTTGAACAGCAACAACAAGACACTCGTGCGACGTTGCTTGCCCCAAACGCAACAAAGGTTATTCGGCACGGCGCGCGGTAACGCCCCGTTCGTGTGTGTGTGCACGCAGCACGCGCCGGGTGTGCCCAAGGTACTGGTCGGCAACCGGCTGCACCTGGCGTTCAAGCGGCAGGTGACGGCGGAGCAAGCGCAGGCGTACGCCGAGCGGAACGGCATGGCGTTCTTCGAGGTCAGCCCCCTGTGCAACTTCAACGTGACCGAGTCGCTCACGGAGCTGTCGCGGGTGGTGCTCATGCGGCACGGCATGGACCGCCTCTTCTGGCCCAACAGCGGTGAGGCTCTCTGGGCGACGCGCGCTTCAGGGAGTTGATCGCGGCGCAAAACTGTCGCCAGCCGTTGAAGTTTCTGCGAAGTTTCTTGCTGTTTTATTGTTGCCCAAATCTGGCGGCCGCTCTCCCCCCCCCCTTCACGCAGGCAACTGGGATCTGTGTGGTTAATGCAGACTTGATGCCTTGCAAAAGGTATCTAGTTGGCGTTTGAACATCTTAACAGCTGTTTTATTGCCAGAAAGGGTAAAATCTATTATTATTTTCCCATCAAACTGGGATCTTATTCTTTTAAGTCACATGTCCCAGCTATTGCGTGGGGTCGGCTGCTCAGATATTTTTTTTGTATCCATCTACAATACTTCTATTCTGAGCTTCTTCTTCTCACGTCACGTCCACTATCTTTACCATTGCCATCTTCGTTCCAGGGTTGATAAACAGTTGTCCTGTGGAGAGACTGGCTCCCACCGCTGGCTTAGGATCTTCAACATGAGCACGAGCGCCCACACCAAGTTTGAACAAGGAGAGGCGCTCAACTCAGTTTTGAGTCGAAATTGGAGCTGACACAGCATTCAGACTTGATGTATATACAGTGCCACGGTGGCGAGATGTTAACTACCTCGACTGATATACAGAAGGTCCTGGGTTCGATACTGAACTTGACACTTCTATATTTGGACTTTACATGTTCTCCCCGTGGTCGTGTGGAATTTTCTCCGGGTCCTCCAGTTTTTCCAGTTTTTCCCTCCACATTTAGGATCAACGTGCATTTCGAGTATTTGGCTGATATAAATGTCCACGTGAATAGCCACTTCGTTGAGCTATCATTTGTGGCCAGGTCGCTCTTGGAAGAAAAAAAAGAGCTATATAGCTCAGTGGGCCTTACCTGGTAAAAAAAAAACTAGTGTAGTTTTTGACATTTCAGACCGTGGTAACGATGGACGTGCACCCCATGTGTTCCACGCAGTGCTGAGTTTGCAGGACTTGTGCTGCCGTGCCATCGTCTCCTGCACGCCCATCCACCTGGTGGACAAGCTGCCCATCCCCGTGACGCTTCGGAGCAGCCTCAAGTCGTTCTCCAAGGCCAACGGCATGAACGCGGTCATCATGCACGGACGCTCGTACGCCGCCACGGCCACGCTCAGGAGGGCGGGCGCCGGCAAGCCCACCAAGCCCACTGCCAGCCCACCCACGCCCAGCTGTACCCGCAGCAATTGCAAGATCTCTTAAGCCATTTGCCGCCCCCTCCAACCCCCACCAACCCCCACCCCCACCCCACATTCAACAATGGGGCATTTATTTACGTATTTATTTCACTTCGGCCAAAAGCGAAAAGGGCTTCCGGTGTTGTCATTCGTTTTAGCAGAACGTGACACACGTAATTATACTGGAGCTCTTCAATTCCTTGGGATAGATCTGGATCGCTGAAAAAGCCCCCCCCCCGCCCCCATGTGAACGGGAGGTGATTGTGCAGGGCTTAGTGATGCCACCGGCATCATCGGCCACTTCACGCTGGGCGTGGCTTGCAGGGGGGCTTCCTGCCTTCGGAAGGCGGGACTAATTTAAAAGGGTCCAAGTAATGGACCGCAATATAATTAGTCGATGTTAAGTTTTAGTTGATTAATCGACCATTTGTTCCAGCCTTATAAAGGTATTGAAGGATGAGAATTTAAACTCTCAAGCAAATCTTCGGATTTTTTTAGTTTTGACGTTTTGAGATAAAAACGCGATGCCTTTCAGTGGTCTTGTATCAGAGCAATTTAAAACGCCGCATGCCGCTCTGGTACAAGGGGCGTTCTTGGCCTGCTGCGTTGCTGGGCATTCACCCATTCTTCTACACTGCATGTGTTACTCCCATGTGGTTGCTATCGTAAAATTTTCATACAATATATATGCAGCATAGACGACTTGTAGTAGCCCTTCACACCAGGATACCTGGGGCCAGCCTCTTGCAATAACTCAGCTACTTGCTAAAAATAACACCTCCGCAACTTTTCTAAGTTATATATATTTAAAAAACATTTGCATGGACATGTTCTTCGACCAACGTTCACTGCAATGCCGACGTGAACTACAATCACGCATTTTCTGATACTTTTTAAACAACATATTATGAAAGTCACGCTGCCGTCGATTAGATGCCCACAAACGGCTAACACTATACCACGAGTCAGCTGTAGTCATTTTTAAGAATTTAAGATTTGAAACATTGTTTTCACGTTGCTACTTAACGAAAAGCCATATATAATACAGTATAATAAAAAACACAAGATTTTTTTTTCGTCCGAAACCATATTTATTGAACTTCATAAATGGTGTATTTATTTTGAGCAGCCAGGTAACGGTGCATGTACACGTACAGTACTTTGCCAATCCACTGCTGCATGAAGATGGGCCTATGTCCCCAGAGGAAGACCAATGACGACTCCCCATGAAGGTGTACTTATTTTATGGAGGGGTGATGGGTCGACTTGACCCACATTCAAATATTCTGCTTAAAAAAAAAAGCTACATTTATCGCGCAATGAACCCACGAAAAACGTATACATTAACAGCACAAAAACAAACATTCGTTCAGTTTCATTCAAGTCTCCATTTATTGGAAATGCAAAGAAACTACATCACTTAGCTGGTGTAGTCAAACGCCTCCTCATTGGAGCCCAACCACCACTTCTGACATTATATTCGTTGAGTGTAAATCTCCACGTTCTCATACCCACTCCTATGCTGAGTGTAGTTACCAGATAATGAAAGCCAAACATTAAGAGCTTCTTGTACCTTAATACTCCGGACACAGGCTATGTGCTAGACTGCAAAATAAACTACAAAACCCATACTGATTAGGAGCATTGAATTCAGTATTGTGAAATGTCGTACATCGTGATATCATTCAGCGTTAGAGTCGTGCCAATTGGGATGTCCGCTTCATTGTTTGTGAAGTAGGTACAACCGGTGACAGTCGAAGCCACGGTGCTTTCTGCCAGCCAGACGTACCGCTCGTATTGAAGCTTCCGATGCGATTACGAGAAAAAGGTATCGATAGCCAGCAACATGCACCATGTCTGATGCGGCAAAGGGAGTTAATGAAAAATTCACTGGCACACCGCCCAATTCAAGTGACCTCCCAAAGACCACAACTGGCATGTGGGCATACAAAAAAAACCTACATCAGACCACGACTCCGGCTTTAATGCTGCCCCACGAGGTGCTTGCACTGATAATCCATCTGGCGTTTTTTGCAATACAACAGATCCACTTCACAAACGTCACATTCTGTCCGAGTTCAACCAAGGTGCAAAGTTGTGGAATGCTCTAGTATCCGTAGGCATGAATATAACGCTTGTGCGTACTCAAAAAAAGAAAGGACAACCAATATCTGCAAGTGCTTTAACAAATCCTTCAACCCACTCCCCGTGCCCCTCGCCCCGGCAAATCTTCCCGCCCACTCGCCTTCGCTGCGTACCTCGCTTTGTGACCGCAACGTCTCAAAAGTCGCTCGTTAAATCGGAGACCTCCCGTTAAAAACACGTGTTCTGATGATTTTAATGGAAAGTCACGCGTGCGCGCAAACCGATAGCATCTCGCAAGAGTGTAATCTACACAGTATCACGTGAGCAGCAGCAGCAGCGGGTCATGCCTCGAGCTAAAAAGCAACGGCATGAATGTAGGGTGCCGTAACCGCCTCCACACCGGGTGGCTTGTGCGAACACGTCAGTATTAGGCGTCAAGTGCAAAGCTGTTTCCTGTCGCTTGTATACATGCAGAACACACGGACGGTATTCAATTACTCTTCAGGGACCACAACAACTTGAGATTATTATATTTTTTGTTAGCTACTACAGTTCTCGTGGTGACATTGCCTCCGTGTTTAATAGCGTCTCTCTATTCGGCACGCAGTCACCCCCTTGAATTATGGCTACAATTTTGGCACGGTAACCTTTTGTTTGTAAAATTCATATCCGATGCAAGAAAAAATTATAACCACAAATTTTTTTTCACGAAATAAGGCGAGGTTGTTCCCACCGACCCTGCCGCCACCAACCCGCCCCGCTCCGTCCGCTATGTACGGCATCCATGCAAGGAAATAAAGGACGTGCGGTTTTCTACAGCCATTTCCAAGATTTCGCAGACGTCATTCAAATTCATGAATCCCGTGCCCCCCAACCGTGACCTCCCGTGACAAAATCGTAGCCTTATTAAAAAAAAAAATGGATGAAAATGTACAAACGCCAAAACGTTGGACCTCTTTAACGACTTGCGAATCCAGCGGGGCCAATGCCACAAACGTCTGGGAAAATCTATGCCGCCCACCGCACGCCAACTCAAGAGGGGAGGAACACGAGACTGAAAAAGCTGCAACTCGCATTTTTTACAAAACGTCAAGGTGTCCGTTGTCGCGATTCGTCAATATTCGTTCATCACTGCAGCCCAAATCGTCGAAGTGACAGTGCAATTCAATTACGACGACTTGAAATGTAAGTGAAGCCCACACCCGACACTCAAAAGATTCTTTCTCCTTCAGGAAAGGAGTCGAATGCACTATGCTAACTTCGGCATACGCGTAAGTACTGTACTCGGCATGTGTGCACGTATTTATTAAATACAAATTCATTCATATACAGAGAACCATGTAAAAGTACACAATTGTATATATAGTGTTTGTATACACATACAGACTGTATTTCTGTGTGCATACTTAAAAAAATTAAATGACATTGGCCATTACATGATCATTAGGAGGCCTCTCTCTAGGCGACAAAAAACACTAACTGAAGGTAACGTCATCCAAAGTAAATCCATGCGTAACGCTGGATGAGTGCAGATCAATGAGCCCATCGCTGACACCGAGAGACGAGAAGTGACCGAGTTACTCAGCGGGACTTGCATGCCCCTTTTTCCACTGGCACATCTGAGCCAAGCCAGCATGTGGCCCTCACGGTACCGGTCTGTTTTCCCACTGGCTATTTGCGAGCCAGAGCCAGAACCAAACCGTGACAACTGGCCTCACAAGACAGGGGTCGTGCCGGGCCAGGGGTCAATCGTTGAACATTAACGGACCCGACGCAACCTACGTTCGTTGCACGCGACATCAAGCACCACGGCTGCACGGGGGCTGTGCCGAGTCAGATTGGCATGGCTCAGTTGTAGAGTGAAAATGAGGTGTTGCCCAATTCAAAGCAATGAACCAGCAGTGCTGAGATCTTGGGTTTGAATCCTGGGTTCAGCCACCTGTGACTAGAACCAAGTGCTCAAGTTCTGCTACTTGATGGTTTCAGAATGAGTCACCAATGACTGCACAATATTTACGCTTATTACATTTGGTTCGTTTTCGTTACTTAATTTGGTACATTTCACCTCGGAGAACTATTTTGGTTTTATTTATGTGAAAGACGCTCTTTGCAGGGTATCCTATTTTTGATAAAGAGGACAATTTAGGCAACGTCAGAAGTAGGGCCCGATCTCTGGCACGACGTTACACTGCTTGCTCGTAAAGTTGCCTCGGCGCAATGGCGACAACAAAATTAAACACGATCGTGGGTCACAAATAAATAAAACGCACAATAAATGATGGCAGCCTCCAAGCGTCATCACTGCACCACGCCTCACACCAAACTCCCGATCATTACCCACAGTGTAGATCAATACATGGTGAAGGTGGAGGGAAACTAAACCATTTTAAAAATCAAAAATGCAACTATTCACTCAAGAAAATCTCACAGAGTCTCTGGACAATTTTTTTTCAGGAAGTTCCTGCACTGGGATGGTTGGACAATGACATTAATGAATGTCTCCTTGTCGGAGGAAAAGTGTCCAGAGAAAACCCACCACGCAATATGGGGGGGGGGGGATGGTAAATCTCAGCACTGCCATCTCCTGGCGATCTTACGGCCCCCATTGCCCACAAACAACTGGGCAGGCCCTGGTGGTCGCTTTCCAAGTACAAAGCAGGGGGGGGGGGGTTCCCAATCTCAGTGGAGGCTTGAAAAGATCATTCCCTTTCCTTGAAGCTTGATCGATGTAATCAAGAATAACTGAAGAGTCATTTGAGTTGCACGCACACGCTTCATTTGCACCATCAGCCATTGTTTATCCACTTCTGAATGAAGGCCTCACCACTATGTTACCCATCTCTCATGGCTCTGTGACACAATCCGTGCTACAACCCATCTCACTCATGCACATGAATGTATCTCATGCCGCCGTCTCTAAATGGTCATCCGCTCGGACACATTCGCTCTTTTGACTGCCATTCCATCACCAGTTTCTTCCAATCATCGTTAATTCTGGTGATGTGTGCTGCCCAAGCAGACTCTTCTCAACAGTTACACTATGGACATCTCTAATTTGCGTTTGTTACACGATCCAAGTATCCCCCCCCCCCTTTGTGTTATTCCCAGCTGATCATTGAACTATAAAGGGACATGCACGAAGGACCAGGATTTCACCTAAATGGTGCATTTATTAACAAAATAAAGTAAAAAAAAATGTAATAATACCCTAATCTGGCAGATGCTTGTGGAATGCGGTATTTATTTAAATGTGCCCTTTTTTTACGTAAAAATATTACGCCGTGCTAGTCTTCAGAGAAACCACAAAGGGGCACTAGGCAGGCTTTTGATATAAACAGAGGTGGTGCAATGCATGTTAAGCTATACCAAAATCTGCCGCCGAGCTTTCATTAGCCTGACAGATTACTCGTGGGAAGCACCGTTGACATTCCACGGCGAGTGCCGCCCCAAGCATGCGAAACTCCATTCACGGTGCGAGACCCTTTTCCAGGAAGGGTCTCGCCAAGTTGCTTGCAGTAGGGGGGCGACGATTGCCACGTTTTTCCCAAATTGACGAATTTGCGAAGTAATTGTTTAAACCTGGCAGATTTTGAGCCACGAAAGCGGCGCACAATGGCGCAACTCTTACTTAAACGACACCACAGGATGTTAACCATCCACTGCGAAACAGGCGGCGCGCGGAGTATTTCACGGTTAAAACACCCTCGCTACCAACTAGGGCAGCATTCTGGATTCAAACTGCAAACCTCTGCAACAAGCATCGGATGCCCTTATGACTGGGCCACATCAGTTATAGCGAACGGGAGTGGCAAAGCAGTGCTTAACTGAATCGGCTGATTTGAATATATCTTTTGGGGATGGGGGTTAATTGCCATCATTTATACGAACTGCACGTACAAAACGTTCAAATGACATTTTGTCCATTCAAACTGGTGGAGTGGTGCTGGAGGAGTTCTCCAGACATACAAACATAATACAAATTAGCTGCTTATTGTGAAGATGTGGCTACAATAATAGGTATGCACTCGGCATGGAAATCATTCCCCTCCACTTGGCGATTGTATCGATTGTCAGGTCAGGACAAAGGATCACGATTCAATGATGCAATCTACAAAAAAATATAATATTGCAGTGTACGGTAGCACCTCTAGTGCAGTGTTCTTCACCATTTGTCAGAGGGGGCCCAGTTTCGCCGATAAGACATCAGTGTGAGGGCCACCACACATTTTCAACCGTTGGGGTGTGACAGCACGATGATGGGGGTTGCTTTCACATCTGCGTATTGTCGGGGGCCATGCTAAAGGCCATCAGGGGCCCGCGGACCTTACGATGAAGATCACCGCTCTAAGTGCCTGCAAGCAAGATGTAAACGTCGATAACTACAGCACATGATTTGACACGTGTAACGCGAGCTTGACGGTCGATATTAAATCGATGATTTGATGCATCGATGCACCAGATCCAGGGTGGAGATTTGTCTCTTGTGGTGATCTGGCGGCCACGAGTAGATGCAGCGGTCGCGACAACTCGTTACAAGGTATACGGAAAGAAAATTAATCCATTCTACATGCATGATTCTATCATTGTATCATGAGGCTGGTGAACCCCTGCGTTATCACAACCTTAGTAACCCGAGACTACTTAACATTCAACGGACGTCCCTCCCAAAGGAGTCCCATCACCCATTCGGGGAAAACATGAGGACCGTAATTTTAACACTTAGAAAGTCAGGAACATGGCAAAGCAACGCTACGTAGGGTCAGTTCCAGTGAACACCGACAGCCTTACCCGACTGCACAAACACCGAGTATGCATTGTGGCTAGCTTGCGTGTGGCGTTTAGTTTGAAGCCAGACATGTTTAATCACTTTAAAGAAAACACGGGGCTTTCATCACCTGGTTTAAACCCGACTTTCATAGGCAGCCGTCGTCAAGCTCAAATCCCTTCATTATAGAACGGCGCGTTGTCAATGGCCACCGTCAGAAAGCAAAAATGGGGCTTTAGTCGCCAAACCACGAGCCTGCATTTCATTAGGTGGCCGTTGACATGCTCCCAATTAGTCAATGCAGAAAGCTGTTGACCATCACTGGAAATAAAATAAAAACAACTTGGCTTGAGCCACTTAAGGTTTAGCCCGTTTATTTTAGGGCGGCCACCCGCTATACAGTGACGAATTGGTGAGCGTGCAGACGCCCCGCCGTACAGAAGGTGCCCAATTTTTCTCATCAGCATTTTTCTTTACTTTTGTACACGGCAAGTTATTATTACACGGTAATGTGGCAAAGTGGCGCTGTGATTAGAATGCAGCACTCGCGAGCAAACGTTTAAAAACGTACATTACGTTTGCAGTAAGTCAACACAATGATTGTTCCTAGAGATAGACTGTCCTCTGGCATAGGAACGTACAACTCCCACTGTGACTCAGTGTTCACCAGCAGAGATGAGCGCCAACCAAATGCTTGTTTGAGTAAGGAGAGTACTTTGACTTTACTCACGACTCGAGTAAATCGATGCCAATGAACCGATCTAAATACAGCCTTCATTGTATTATCAACTACAGACGCACCCGCTTTACACAACCATAAAATAATCGCGCAACAAGAGCGTGCACCCCCAAACATTACGTAAACGTTTCGAACGTTAACAAATTTGAGCCGCTATTCTGTTGCGTAAAAGAAAAAAATATATACAAGGTTATTTTTTTTAAAGGTAAAACTAAGGCGTGGTTGCTGCAAGTAACCGTTACACGTTAATACCATCAAGGTAAATAGATGGCCATGTCACGTGTGATCCTGGCAATGTCGGTACTGGATTGGATTCAGACCTCAGTGTAATGTTACTCATGTTACTCAGTCTTGGTGTATACTCATGTTACTCAGTCTTCAGTGCATGCAAAAACGAGAGCATTGCAAGGTGCCTTCAAGGAAACCATATCATTCGCAGCATGTAAAACGAAAGTGTAATAGATATTAACCTACAATAATCCACCGTGGCTCAAGGTGTACGTTGCCTCTTTCAGTGAAGACATTTAACGATTTTTTTTTTTACTTAAACATGGTACCGAGAGAGAAACGCACACGGGGAAAAAGTGAACAGAGAAACTAATGAACTTAAGCGAGCGTTTTCACCACAGGCGATGGAAGGCCAAACGTTTTCAGTATGATCTTAGCTATTTCACGTGGTAATCTAATTAATGATGGCACATCCAAATTATGTCAGATACCAGAAGCTAAGCAGGGTTTGAGCTTGAATTGTCTGGATGGGTGACCACCACACACAAACAGGTTGTCATAGGCCTTAGTGGGCAGTAGAGGGCAGTGCAGCACGCTGGTGAACTCGGGATGTGGTCAAATATCTCTCAGGACCTGCACAGGTATGGGGTGGCCCTTCTTCAGAAGTGGACTGACCAAAAGGCTGTACAAGTAGAATGAATGACCCATTAAATTCTACATTATGATGAAACCTTGTGCCACACGGGGACCGCTGCCACCGAGGGTGCACTTGGCTCGGCTGCAAGCACGGGCATTGGGATGGTCGAGAGGTGATGATATCAGGCGCTTTGAGATGCAGAGGCCCTTAAGTGCCCTACGGATGCAAATCCTTATCCATACTCGCCAGCTACAGTTTAAAGGCAAGAATTACGGGAGCAGGTGCGACCGCTGTGATGGTGTAACACACCGCCGAGACAAACCGATCATAATTCCTGTTCCATGCCAGCTCGCAGTGCCAAAGCAACGGCCTTGACGTGCGCAGCGCTCGAAAGCATCCGATGAATTTGTTCTCTCGTCCCCCCAAGTGGCGAGAAATTAAAGAATGTGCGAATTAGGTTAGTGCGATGAGGGACATGCTTCCTGGAAACTGATCCACATTTTTGAAGGAACAAAAGAAGACAATCTTATCGCATTCACCCTTGTGAATATCCGGCCTGGTGGTGCTGTAGTCAGAGGGTTTTTACTTGCAACAGGACGGTCGCGAGTTCAACTTGGCCCATTATTGTTCTGCCGGAGTCAGGAAAATTAATGACAAGCAGGTGCCAGGAAACACAATCCACATGATCCTTGAGTGGATTGTTCACACCCCCCCCCCGCCCCTATTGTTGAATGAAACTGAATGTAACACTGCATGGAACGAACCTGGAAAAGGTTCTCGCTGAGGATGGATTCAATTCAAAAACGTATTTTCAGCAAAGAGGAATTACATTTTGGGTTATCCAATGCCGGGCAATGGGACCCCGTGGCTCTCATGGGCTCCCACGCCCAGCCACTTACACTTATTGTTCCCAGGAAAATGATTGAAAGTGGGGTGAATGCAGGCATCCCGTGAAGTGCAGGCTGCAACCGCTGCAATGTTGTTTTCCACTTGTACAAAAATATATGAAATCCCCCATTGTTTTTCATATTGTGCTAACGGCATCACGGCATGTGATTTGAACCGCTCCCACTTTCCCGCATCGCATTCCAGCAGAACCAATGTGGTTTTTGTTATCAGTCGCATTCCAGCAGATTAAGTGCAAAACTAAATTGAATACGATAATTTTTTTAGTGCAGTCATTGGTGAGCAGACCGAGACCATCAAACCACTGCACTTGAGAACCCGGTTGACTCGCAGCTAAAATCTGGATTTGAAACCAGGATCTCAGCAGTGCCAGCTCAGCGCTCCGTGCTCCGAGCCACCACCTGGCCACCTCCTGCAGCGCTACTTTCCCAACGAACATTCCGGGGACGTGTATGATGCCCCTTCGCATCAGCGCACTGCTTTCGAGTGCTCGCAAGACGGCTCGGGGCGAAGTCAATAAAGGGTGGGGGGGGGGCAGTTGGTTCCGAATTACTTCTCCCCCAAAGAGGCGACAGGACCCTGAATACTGACACAAACTGCCTTACGTGGAATCCACAATTTGGACGTTGCTCTATCGCAGGGATGGGGGAAGCCCTTAACTTACAGAGGGCCGGACAGGACTTTCAAATACCTTTGGCAGGCAACCACACATTAACACGCACCTTATCATTAACCAACAAACACAAAAGCAGACGTGGGCATCAACCGAGGATAGATAGGCCCTTGAATTGACAGTAGTGACCAAGCATGCTAGTATTGTAAAACAGAATTACCTGGTCAAAAAATATTTCTCGGGTACCCGATTAGTGCAGCTAGGATGCTTACAATGATGAATAAATATCATTTGGCGGGCCATTGCAAAGTGGCAAGCCTCTTGGCCATGGGCACACGTGAAATTAAATGTAAGGTAGGTTCCTCGCCGCAGTGTGCATCTGATGAAAAGTCGGGCAGTGCACACATTCTTTGCGTCCAAAGTCGGGAGGCCACTACCCACAGTGCTGAGCTCCGGAAGCAGGGTGGGCCGCACAAGGCGACACCCACCCCAGAGTGTACTCGCCCACCCTCGGATGACAACGACCACGTACTAAAAGACGGGCGCACATGCAAAAGAACAACAGCTTTTTACGACACGCACACAAAAAACGTTCAGAAAGCTCGGCAAGAAATAGGTGATGGCCATTGTAATCTACAGGATTTCCTTTTTTGTTAAATAACAAACGCAAAGCAACAGGCCTACCAGCGACTGCCTGGTCAGTGAAATGCTGCACACCGCCAAAAGAACTGCATGGAAATGATAAAAATGTTCTCTGCAACTAAAGTGTGCACAATACTGCATCGCCTAGGTCGCTCATGTTCCTAACTCCAGAGTCTCTCTGCCTCTGCGATGTGTTTTAAGGGATCAAGAGCATTTCAGGTGTAGAAAAAAAGATCGGTAACAGTACAAAAAAAATTGCAAGAGCTCATCAAGCTACAAGGCTGATGATACCATTGCCTCCTTGCTTCTGTCAGATATATCAACTGTTGCGGTCAACAGAGCCAAAAGTTATGACTACTATTTGTTACTATTTTATTGATATAAAAAAATACAACTACCAAATAACTAACAGTAACACAAATCGTATGATATACTACCATCCTAATCTGCTGCCACTTCAATAGGATTTTTTTATAATAATAAATAAATATGAAACTCAGAGAGTGCGAGTCAGTAAACACGAGGACAAGACACACTGCAGCGTTGTCAAGTCGAATGGGCCGACTTGAAATAGCTCTTCTCGCGATTGCAGACACTGAAATGTTGCATTGCCCCCCCCCACCCCGGCCAAAAAACTACATACTTACTGTTCTGTTACGAAAAAAAACTAAAAAACACGATGCGGAATACTGTAACACGTATGCACATCACTGTGTTAAAAATCACAATGCGTAATTTGCCAATTGTTACAAACCAAAATTTTCTGCTGTTGGGCAACGATAATCACATTTCCTCAGTTACAATTGAGTTCGAAACTTTTGATTTGAGAGTTGCAAACATACATGTGCAAGGCCAGTCAATTAATGAGAAAAATAGTTTTTTTTTTTCACCAACACACTTGTCGTATTTCTGTTTATTTCACACTTTATAGAGTGCCCTGCCATGACATTTATTTCCAAAAATAGGATATATATATTTTTTGGCACCGAAGCACATTAAAAGTGGCAAAAATACACAAGTGGTATATGCACCGGTGACTAAGTCTCACACGCGCGCGGGGGAAGGCGGGGGGGGGGGAAGGCAGACGCCCTAACTCAGGGGGTACGCAACCCTCACCACCGCCGCCGCTGACGACGGTAGGGGCCACGCCCCCCCACCTCAGTTTTTGGAGTTGTGCTCGACAACGTGAGTACTCTTCTCGGCTTGAGGGGGGAGCGGTTCGCTCCCATTGCCGACGCCCTCGGATTTCGCACGTTTCCTTTCGGGCTCCGAGTCGGCCGGAAGGCCCACGCCGTGAGAATTCGTGGCGGCGGCGGCGCGCTTGGACGCCAGCAGCGACGTAGGTTTGACCTCGGGCCGCCGCTCGCCACCTGCAGACAAACGACATCGCGCCGGCGTAGAGCCAGCCAGAGCAAGCGTCAAGAGTGAAGAATGTGCTGCCTCCTGACAAAACCCCACCACTTGGTGCTTCCCTTTAAAGGGAAATGGATTCAGCGTGTGTGTCATCCCCTCACCCCCCCTCACACCCCCCACCTAGCCCCCGTGTGCCGATCGCGTGTGGGCAGGGCTTAATTATCACCGAATGTTTTCTAGAATGCTGGTTTGACTTCCACTTGGGGCATGGGTCTAAAAAAATATTTAAACATTTTTATTTTATTCTATCAGGTAAGGCCCACTGAGCTATTTCGCTCTTTTTCAGAAGCGACCTGACTATCACAAATGATAGCTCAACGAAGTGGCTTATCACGTGGGAATTTCTAGCAGCCAAATACTCTAAATGCATGTTGATTCTAAATGTGGAGGGAAAAACTGGAGGACCCGGAGAAAAAAACCACGCAACCACGGGGAGATCACGCAACCTCCAAATATACAGGCGTCAGGATCGGAATCGAACCCACGACGTCCTGTATACCAGGCGAGGCAGTTAACATCTCGCCACCGAGAGGGACACTGGTTGCGCTCTACTGGGTGTGGAAATATTTATCCGACGTCTTGACCATAGACAGACCCGCCTGAAATGTTGGTTGTTTGGCAAGGTAAAGAATGCATTTAGCATGTACCCCCAACAGAGGGGGCTGCAATCCCCAAAAAAATGCTGCTTGCAAAGTGCAATGTTTGTTGATGTCCTCTTGTGCGGCATGCAGTTTGTCAGGCTTCTGCCACATTGTCACAACATTGTGCATTGAAATTTCGCGTGAAACTGGCCACTATACGAATCTAATGAACACGTAAAGAAGACTCCAGAAATGCGAAATATTACAAAAGCATCCTTTCAGCACATTGTAAGTACTGAAGAACCCATGGTGCTTGTGTAATGCTCTTGCTAGACAAACCCAGTAGCATGTCAGTCGCACACTGTTGATGAAACTCAAGATTCGTTAAAACTGATCCACAACTTGCCAATGGAAAACAATTGCCGATGCAAAAAATTGGTTCAGAAGTCCTAGTTGTCAAATTGTTATTTTATGTGAGCAATGAAAAAATGCACTTATATTTATTGTATGCACAATCTGTCGCAACGGTGCAGAATATTGGTTAAAAAATTATAGAGATGTAGAATTTGCATTTATATGGAATTCAAATACTGCTGTATCTCTCTAAATACAAGTGTGATGATTCCCTTAGTCTCTAGCAAAAATAAAACCACGTAGATAAACATTATGTTTTTCATGTCCACAAAAACAAAAATCATCTCCTAGCGGGTAAAAATAGTTTAAGGCCTAAATCTGGTTTCAACGCTTGTTGCGATTAGCATTCAGTGTGTGCACAGAACCAGCTATATAGATAAAAGTATGGGCATATTAAATTCCACTGAACAAAATCAACTAATTACCAATGTAAGAAATAGGATACATATCAGAGATATAATGTAGCATGTTAAACCAGGCAAGTAATTATCATGTCCATGATTAAATCTTTGCACACAGCAATAAGAATCACGTTCACACACAATGTGCCGTTGGGCTTGTCGCACGCCCTAATGGAATTGTTTTATAAGCTGCATCATCTTGCAGAGAGAAATACAAATTATTTACAATTCACGTACTGTGTGATTAAGGTGTGAAGAACTTCTATTTGTTTAATGAGAAGTGAATAATTGTTTTCACTTAATTATTCTATTCACTCACTATTCGTACGCACAAAATTATCTGTCAGGAGAATGTAAATGCAGCATAGCAGGCTTAATGTTTCCTAGCTGAGTGGAGGGCTCATTATGTTTATCCATAATTGCATTGCATATGCATAAACATCGGAGAGAGCCCCCCCTCTTGTATTTGGTCTACTCTTCCACGCTTGTCAGAGGTCTTCGAAGCGTTCGGAGCGCCACAACTTTAGCCAACACTCTTCCTGCCGATCAACTTACAAATAAGACAATTACTATACCGTGATTTTGCTGAAACTGGGAGATGGATGAGGCATGGGACCCATTGTGGTGGACGCTGCTGCTGCCTGGGCCCTGCTGCTGCTGTTGGCTGTGAGGTGTCTGCGTCACCACAGCCACTCCCTGCGACACCGGCACGGCCACACGGCCGCCAGCATCGCTGCTCCCCGCATCATGCGCACACCCCACGCCGCCCAGCGAGCCGACCGTAGGCCCCTGCAACAGGGCATTCTGGGAAGGCTGCACGACTGCCACCACTTGCCCCGCGGGATTGTGGGAAGGCGGTACAACTTGAATAACGCCCCCATGGGGGGCGATCGCCACGAACGGCTTTGATTCCGTCTCATCTACAAAGAGAGAAAGTGAGAGGGACCGTGATGACCCCGCTCGATGAAGCAGAACTGGACGCACATGAATTAAAGCATGTGGGTCCCCAAATGGCACAACTCGCAACACACCAAGGTACCTCTGCTGGGAGTTCACCAATTGATCTCCGTTCGTATACAATTTGTCGCATGCCACAAAGTGGCCAGTTATTGCTAAACACATTCGACGCGATTCAAATTGCACTTGCATGTAAATGAGTCGCCCCGCAGGACGAAGAGATCGACGATTGAAATTGATCAGTGTTTTCTGTCGAAAGTACTTGAGCAATCATCAGGCGTGCGAAGCACATGAATGGCAATTTACATTCAAACGGAGTTAAACTCCGACAGCCGACGGAGGGTCGCAAGAGGTGGATCAACAGTTTATTTATTTATTTAATTTCCGTGGCTTAAATTTAATTTCGACGATGCGCTTTCTTTTAGACATTGTGACACAATTGAAATTGAATGAGCGTACCCTTTTAGACAAGTTACATGAATTTGGTAGGAAAATAAGAATACAGGCATAAAATAAACTCATTGACTTTTGAGTTGCGATTGCGGTGCGCACCGATGTATCCCGATGACTGCGACGACCCTTTGTCAATTGCAGAAATGCCATAGGCAAAAGGCAGAACATTATCACGACACACACACATTTTTATTCCCGAAAATATAAAATACAAATTGCAATATCCTTGGGTCCTTCGGTGAAGTCACGTAGATAGGTTAAAATAAAATATATTTTTGTTATTTTCTTTGAACCTATCTACGTGACTTTACCGAAAGACCCAAGAATATGAATTCCTGCAGTCACGGAAGCTTTAAGTCAACAAATTGCAATGTCGCAGATTGAGACTCACGTGTCTTGCTCGCTTGGGAGGAGAACGCATGTGGAAATTATAATTATTGGTGTGCAATTAAAACATTCATAATAAAGGTTTTTGGTCGCGAAATCCAGCGTGTTAAACTAATTAAAACATTACATAAGCCGAAACAACTGGGGCGGCACTTGGTACGCTCTGCCCACTGCCTGCACGTGACCCGAGGCGCCGATTTTGGATCAGCACCCTCCTCCTGCCGAGATCACGCCACATTGGCGGCGCAGAAAACTGGGTCAGAGCCCAACGGAGGGCCGTTTGGCCCGTCCCACTTTGGTTATTGTTTGGTTGACTGGGTACCGCTTTTCTGCTCTCCACACATGGAAGACATAACCGCTCAACTGGCCTACTTTATCATCCGAGTAAATATCCATGACGATTTGTCCGGACGCGGCTCATCGACAGCAATAATTACATCCTGTGTGACATTTAGCGCTGTTCATGCTTTCCACGCAATGTTTTGAAAAGAAAACTGCACCCCTTTTGCTCTACCTCCGGAAAATCGAAATTCCAATACACACCTCGTAAGGTCACCCGAACAGTGCGATAAGCTGCGAGCAATTAATCAAGTGACGTGTCATTTTAAAATAGGCAGGCAAATCGTGAAACAATCTGGTGGCGGACAATAAAACACGCACGTGCGCACCGATTAACTACGGATGTGTTTGAAAGGAACACATCACAAGTATCACTGTAATCAAATTACCAAAAGGAATTTGCGGGTAATCTCATATTATTACTACACTATCAGTGTACACTATCAGTGTAGAAATAATGTACGGTACTTCTAAGCATCCTAGAGCAATCGTCCCAACACAGTCAACGCTCTCACCTTTCATATCTCCATCCTCCTCCCCTTGCGAAGCCTTGGGAATGCACCCGTTGGTCACACCGGGATAGGTGCACACGGAATTTGCGGAGACCAGGCTGGCAGGCGTCATTACCTGCAGCATGGAATTCTGGGAGATGGGCACCGCTGTGGTGAGCAGCACGGAATTTTGGGAAATGTGCAAAAGAGGCTTCTGGGAATGTGCGGAGTGGAGCGACATGACTTGGAGAACGGAATTCTTGGCGGCTTGTAATGAGGGTGATGCTGCATGCCGCACGGAATGCTGGGAGCTGGGTGCCGGCGTGGCTAATGCATAGCTGACGGGTTTGCTGACGACCGGCGGCAGCTGATGATGAACCACCAGAGGCGGGCTGGACACGGGGGATCCTGAAAAGCAAAGGCACCCGCAAAGTAATGCTGATCAAACTGTACGTAGGTGGTCATCATTATCATCATCGGCAGCAGCTATAATCAATTGACTACTGGACTGATCTTGGCTGCTGTGATGAAGGCCTCCCCCCCTCCCCCCCCACGCTGGCGCCATCACTCACGATTCTGCAATGTAACAATGGGCCAAGCGCTTACACAAAAGCCGATTTCATCAACGCTCCATCTCCATCGTCGACAATGGTGGTGGTGCACACCAGTAATCCAGCGCTTTCAAGAGGCCACAATGGTGTATAGCAGCCCAATCTGCTGGGCTGGGAGAACGTGGTATAGATTCGTGACCCATATGTGTGGACTTATGAATGATATTTTTCATTGTGTGTGTCGGTTTTCTCCGGGCGAGTATGTATAGTGAACTTCTTTCACACCATACGCAGCCCACCGTGCGAAACGGAGGTGCGTTAACCAACATGTTGTTCATTCCGCAGAACGTTCTTTTCAAAACATATTGAATGTTTGTTCAGAACGTTCTTTACAAAAACAAAACGAATAACCTAACGCCCTAAAGCGGGGCTTCTCCTGCCAGCAGGTAAAGGAGTCTTGGGGGACTCCTTTAGGCATTCCTGGATAAAGGACTTCATTACAATAATTATGAATTGACTATGGTACGTGGTGTTCTAAATCGTTTTTTGACAAATGTAAACAAGGAAAAATTATTTGACACGTAGTTCTTTCGCGACCAATGTTATTCATGATAGAGGCTTTTTGGGTAAGATCGCTTCGCAGCAATTGGCTGTTGGGTGGTGGCGGGTTAACAAGAGATTTGTACTGAAGCGATGTAACCCACAAAGACCTTTTTTATAAAGGCCAAAGAAAAGAGCCACACATATTTGTAGCTCATCAATTGGACTATGAGCTGGGGGGCACACAAGCCTTGACTTTATTAAATATCTTTTCAACGAAAGGGGATTGCAGTTTTCACCAGTGTGATTGAATTTATTTAAATGTACATTGGTGCGGCACCTGGACTTGCCATCAGGAACGCTCGTATTCCCAGCAGCCTCTCTCTTGTGCTGAACACGTGATTTGGTTAACAGTTTCTGCCGTATAAAACATCACCTCCAAAAAGCAGCCATCACTGGTTCGTACTGTGAGCGGCTTGGGTAATAATGAGCTTTCTAACACACCAAGATAAAGATCCCCCGTATAGCCTTCAACAGACTATAAGGGGCACGTGCTGTGAGCAAGCACCTATGAAGGTCGAAACGGTAAGCGAGGGCGTGGGTGGCCAGCACCACCCCTGGCTGCCTTTGTCTCCCTAGTAGTGATACTTACAAGCTGCACCAAGTACTCATGAGGCCGAGTCGACCTAGGGGATGCTCAAAACCGGTTCACTGATGTTGGCCATGAGCGGGAATCTAACTCAGATCACCGGGTTTGTAGTGGCACGCTAGCCGCTAAATTGCCGCTCCCCACTAACACACACACACCTACGCTATGGCTCATGTACCATTCTGCCTAAGGGGACATTTAATTACATACCATCGCACTGGGGGGCTCTGCTCCCGTAGCACCGCACTCTGGAAGCTACACACGTATGCGGTATTGACAGCATCTCATTAGCGATAATATGGGCGCATTTGAATGGCTTAGCGGGGGTGACAGCGATGCTCACCCTCCCATTATCACCCAGACCGAACACAATTCACACTGGACTGGTGGTCAGTGTGTGCTTTTGTTTGTCTGCCAGACTCGCTGCATCAGTACCCCCCCACACTGCTGTGTCTGGCTGTTTGTACAACCAGAAACGTGGTCTAAAAACTGCTTGTTAATGGCTCATAAGCAACAATTGAAGGGTTTAGTTGTAGCGCCACATCATCATCATTGTTGTCATTCTTCATCAATCCAATTCAATCCACTGCTATTAGGCCTCCTCAAGCCGACGCTATCTCTCATGATGCTGCGATCTTAATAATTCACTTAGGCACCTGCACAAGATCTGATTTCATCGCTTAATCTCCTTGGTGGACATCCTCTTGCGAACGTACAATTCCTTGGCTGCCACTGCATTGTTATTTTCGACCATTGACCGCCGTCCCTGCTCGCGACTCGTTCCAGCCAGCCCACTTGATTTTCTCAATACTGTAGTTTTAGCGATGGACTTCCCCTTCGTATGTTCTCTAATTGACGTGTTTCTATTTTTGTCCCCTAAATGTAATTCCAAGATGCTTCTGTGTGTAGTTTTCAACGTTTAGGTTTTGTTCCATTGCAGAACATATCCAACGTTAATGCAAACGAGTATAGTTGGCACAAGTGGCGTGTTGATATGCGTAGGGGTTTTTAGTGAGCAATCTTTCATTTGATAAATATTATAAGAACACATGCAGTGTGGTGAAATAACCCCCATGAGCCACGTGGCATGGGGAGGTGCTCATCCAGCAGTGGACTGACAAACTTGACATGTACATGCACCAGAAAACATACGTCCATATTTTTTTCGACAATATTCTCAGCAAAGCCTTCAGTATGCAGTTAAGTTGGAGTCTGTTAAAATGGGAAGCAACGCAACAACAACAACTGGAAGAAAATGCTCTCCGTAATTGGCCTTGCGTTGCTGTAATGTGATATTAACCCGTGGATAAATGCGGTATCAATAGAGGACATCGCCTACGAAAAATACCACACAGACGCAGATTGCAACGAATGTAAAGGTTGCTCATCTCTTGGGCGACTTTCAACTATTTTTTTTTTACGAGCGAACACATTGCATAATCCGCTCAACTCGTTAATTTGAAAAGGTTTCAAGCTCACATCCTTCCACGGTGGGGGGGGGGGGGTTGACGAAATTATCCAGGGCTAATCAAATTAGTTTCGTTCTGAAGCAAGGAGGTGAAAGAATGGATATGGCCCTCATGGGGCCAATGCACAAGGGAAGGAGGGGGGGGGGATTAAATACGCCATTTTGAACATTTCTGGAGTTTGACCCAGGAAATAACGTGCAATTAGGAGTAGTGTTAATATACAAAGGTTTTTCATCATTCTATCATCATATATTATCATAACCGATAAAAAAAATGTTGCTAAAAATATATTATGCCAGCATGTCTCAAACACTCAAGCGAGTCAACCTTGATTTGAAGCTTTCATGACTACAGGAATCCATACTCTTTGGCTCATTCGGTAAAGTCACGTAGGTTGAAATAAGTATAACCCGTAAAAACAAAGTTTATCACTCTAAATCCTTTATATGCGTGGCGGCTAGAGTCCTCTTGTCCTCTGGCTTGAGATGGCTGCCACCTATGGGTCAGATGATTGTCTGCAGTATTAAACAATTGGTAATTAAATATTTAATTTGTTTTCCCTAAACAGTGGGTTAAAAAACGACCGAAAGGTTTGCACGGTCGTAAGCAAGCAAGCAAGCACGCAAGCACGCAAGCACGCAAGCAAGCAAGCAAGCGAACTTAATATAAAGGATTTAAAAATACTCGATCACGACAATCGTCTTCGATTGCTTGCGTGGCGATCGAAACTTCGTGATCTATTCTTTTTTTCTACCTACGTGACTTTACCGATAGAACCAAAGAGTATACTCAAGCGAGTGTTGTGCAGCACAGTCCAGTTCCTGACCACGAAACACGCAGAAGGCCACGCAGCCTATTCCGCCCACGATCGACAAAGAATTACTATTCATAAGCCTGTGTGTTAAACTAATCTTATTATTGTTGACGATTACTCGTATGATACTGAAGATAGCGTGATAATGAAGGCAGTGGAGGCAGGGTCGATTGCAGTGGCGGTGGTGGCAGAGGCGGTCGTAGTTGTGGTGTTGGTGGTGGTCGTGACAGCAGTGGTGGTGGAAGTGCTGGTGGCGGTGGTGATAGTGGCGGCAAATTATCGCATGCGGCTTTGCTTTACCAGGCGCACTTTGCGAGCACCGCGACTCTGGGACAGACGGGAGCCTGGAAGGGTCGGCGGTGGCGGTGGCGGCAGTTGCGGCGGCGGCGGCGGCAGTGGTGTTCGCGGGCGCAGGGCCCTCGTTCTCACCGAGCCCAGTGGGCACCGGTGAGCCCTCGCGGGACAGGCTGTCGGGGGTCTGCACGCCGCTCGACGGCTGCGATAGCAGCACCCCCTGTGTGGGCGAGGGTGGTGCGCTCCTGAGACATGGTCAGGTGCGACACACAGCAGAGGTTAACGCGGGGGTCAACACAGCCTCTTTATGTTTGTATATGCACACCTAGGCTGCTCGTCCTCGGTATGATGTCAACTGCATCCGGTGATGGCAAAATACTGTAGAGCAGCGGTACGCGAACCTGCAGCCTGGGACTTCATTTCCTACAGCCCGTGGGCAACCGAGAGCTACCACTTGCAAATGGCCCACAAAGGAAATGTATCCATCGCTGCAAGTATCTTAGCCGCACTAACCAGGACGCTTACAGAGAAATGTATTCAAGGAAGTCACTTCCGTCAATGCAAGAAGCCCTTTCAGCGACGAGTGAATGAGGTGCGTGTTAATGTGTGGACCAACAAAAGTATCTTAAAGTTAATTTAATACAGACGCATTATCAAGGCTATTGTCATGACGTGCGATGCACGATGGGAGCTCGTGACTAACACGGTTGTGGAACCACCAGTCAGGAATTCGAGAGGTGAATCGGCCGTTTTTTTTATTTCAGTCGACTGAGTATGTGTTGTCAATATCAGTCAGTTGCTTGTTTGGCGTCGAGTCTTCCATCAAGGAAGGAAGTGTAATGACCTGGTAATTTTGGGGTGCTGATTCCAAATCTGGCATCAGTTTATGTCCATCACATCAGGTTTTTGAGATATCAAATATTACATTTTCAATAAAAAGTGCAGAAGAAAAATATTAAATAAATGTGCATATCTACATAAAATGATATTATAAACACACTATCCTAAAAATACAGCACCATATTTTAACACTAAAGCAGTCACTGACTCAACAACTTGCAATCATAAGTAACAGAGTTAATTTCCGGTAAAATCAATGAAAATGGGGTATGCCAATAGCATAAAAATGAGATGTGATAAGAGCAAATCTGAGATCAGATTTGGAATCAGCACCCTGAAATTAGTCTAAAACGGCTGCAAAAGTCCCAGCCAGAATTTTTTTTTTTTTGTTGACCAGTGTAATCAATGGAAACAGCAACTTAATGGATTGTAAAGCGCAACAGTGAAAACAGCTGGGCATTGTCTTGCAGAGCCAACTGTAGGCCGTGTGTATTGAGCTGTATGAAAATGAGTGAGAAGTTTCACGGATCGGAGAAAAGTCTGTTATGTCCACTATCTTTTTGTTGTAATGTGCCACCCTATATCCCTCCAGTGCCCCCTGGTGTTGTCATTCAGGTGCAACAGGTCAATGTCGGGTTTCCCAAACCCTAAACACGTTTCTAATTGGAGGGAAATATCGGAGAACCCAGAGAAAGCTCCATGCGACCGTGGGGAGAGGACACGCAAACTCCAAATATACCGGTGTCCAGTAGGATCAAACCAGGCGAGGTAGTTAACATCTCGGCAGCGCAGCACCCCAAACTCAAGTTGCAGTGACCCACGCCGGACCCACCTTATCTTCTGTGTTCAAATACAAATTAAGTTATGATGACATAGAGTGCTGTGTGCGCCTGATGATCATAGATATTTCCCAACTGACGTAGTGTGGACCGATTCATATGAACATGTAGATCTTGTGTCCCACGTTATGGAGAGCGGGAGTGTAGTGGTTAACGCACTGCACTATGAACCTGGCAACATGAGTTCGATTCCTACTTACGGCCAACATCGGTGACGAATATCTGAATTGAACTGGTCCTGAGCCTCTTCGAGGTTGAATCGGAATAAAATGAGTACCTCATGGAGGTGTCTAAACATCAGCACTGGAGAGACAAAGGCGGCCAGGCACGTTGCTGGCCAGCCATTCCCTCATGTGCCATGTTGGCCTTCATAGGTGCTCGCTAACAGCACCTGCCCCAACAGTCAGTTACGATTATATCAGTGGATCTTTGTCTGTGTGCCCTACGTTAGGTCAAAAGTGTAGATTCAAATTATGATCCGCTTTAAAATCATCAATCTTAATTTGAATCAGCGCTCTCTACAGCACATGGAGACATGTCCAGCAATCAGCAGAGGTGTGTGCAGCATTTAAACGACTTAATTTTCATTGAACGGAGAGGGGCTGGTAAATGTCGAACGAGTGTCTGGTTGTTTTTTCGTCTGCTCTTGACCTGCCACCACAGTCATATGTTTATCCAGTAAATATATGGCTGTGTTGGTTGTGAAATCTGGAGTTTTAAAATCCCTACGTTAATGATTCCTGTAGACAGGGACCCATTGAAGGAAACAACATGTTTACATCTTCAAGCTTTACACAATTATTGCACCATACAGCTATATTAACTGCAGCGACCGCAAAAAAAACTTAAAAGATTATGGACGCCCATGACAAAATCCTGATGAGCTCCCCCGTAGCCTGCGAAACCTGGAGTTCACTCAACTCCATTCACAAGGTCACAGTCTCACGACTCGGCCTAAATAAACAATGCACAGGTGGAAGCCAGAGAAATTACCGGTGTTTCAATTAACTTTTTTTGTCCAAATAAGTGCCGTTTATCCGATGGAAAATTGTTTGCAAAGTCAATACGTTGTAAGCGGAAGACGGATGTTGCAAAATCAATGCTGCCACGTCTATGCTCTGGACTTTCACCAACCATTACTGGCTGTAGTAATCGTTGATGCTTAATCATTTCATTGTTTGACTCTTCGCCAGGTGTGCTGGCATACACCAGCAATCAAGCATTTACTTAGAAATCAGAGCTGCCATTCAGACATTACTATCATCACAGTCCTGAGGTCATGTAAACACCTCGTCCCCTTATTTCACCAATTTTAATGAGCTCTGGGCATGTTCACGTATTCCCAATACGTAAACTTTCTTCCGTTGTCCCTTTTTGACCAAGGTCATCCTTGCAGAAGACACCTGCAGTCTCAATGGGTTCTTGCCTGGTTAAATATAGACCACTTACGACACCGCCCATGAGTGGGATAAAATTAAGCTGCACGTGTTTTAAAATAAACAGCGGAGAGAATGACTGCCGCATTATTAATCTCCGGTGATCCAAATAACTTTGCACCGTGATGAATGTTGCACCTCTCGTCGCTGCAATGGGTCACGTGAACCCATGGCATGCAACATTATACGTATAAAACAACATTGATTCTTACGCACGAGATTCTTTGTACGTGTCGTGAGTTTAGGAATCAATATCAATTGATAAATCGATGCATCATTACACCCCTACTACACAGCTATTGATCTATGGATAAACTGGTGACCCAGCTAACTCCAGAAAATGAAACTATATCCTGGACTCAAACTCTCATCAGGTTAATCTAAATAAATTTAACCGAGCTGAAAATGGCTCTGCCACTGTAATTTAGAATTTCCACCACCTGTTTAGGACCACAAAGATGTGAGCCCTGGTAAATGCTCATCTGAGGATGTACACACTTCCGCCTTATATAACAAACTGATGAGTAATCTTAAGAGGACATTAAGTCATAAACACTGAAATTCCCCACGATAATTTACAACTTCCGTGTAAATTAGTAGGTGTCTGAAAAGAAATGTTGAAGAGTGAATTAAAACACTTACTCGGTCCTGTGTGGATACATCAGTGGTGCAAAGCAGAAGGGACATACGTTTGAATTAAACACAGCTGTAACATCACAGCAGAAACTGTACACAATCGTGATACCAAACTGTATGGTGGCTAGCCAAGTGGGTGCTGTGGTTAGGTAGTGTCAATTTTTGGAAGAGTTTCAATTTAAAATCATTATCGAGGGTCCACTCAGCCCATTACCCCTGCCAGGGTCAACAAAATGGGAACTGCTTAGTGGGAAGTTAACAGTGGCAGTGGCTATGGAGAGAAAGCGCTCTGACAAAGGAATGTGGAATTTCCACCACTGGCTCAGAGAGCCGCTAATGAAAACGAATACCACTCAAAGCTGATTTGAGTACGGGAAATCGGTGAAATTGTATTTAATGATACTGCAAAGCACATGTATAAAAAAAAAACAAGACTCAGCGGAGTCAAGATCAAGTATTTGCCCACTCAAATGAGCATCGGGTGGGCACTCAATTCTCTCGGTGGTCCTGTGCCAGTGCTGGAAACTCCACATTTCCATGGTGGGCGCCAGTCTCTCCGAGGAACAATCAATGTTGACGTCCCACAAAGCGGTACTATTAATAGTTCCAGCACCAACCAGTGGCATTGATAGAGAACTAATGTAGCATAGCAAAATGGAGCAGTCACGTATTGCACTCTGAACCTGAATACCCTGAGTTCAATTCTCAGTGACGGGCAACATCAGTTTTAAGTGATTTCTGAACTTGTTTTGAGGTCAATCTGCACTGACCAGCATAGGGAAGCGTCAAACGATCCCCTTGACGTACACAGCAAGGGGAGGCCTTCACCCCACAGTTGGGATAAGGGTATAAATGATTAAATCATTATTAATCATAGATTGATTACGACTGACGATGAAGATGAAAATTATAATATATTCATCATCATCTTCATCATCCTCAGAGATAACCATGGATTAATCAATATCCTTGCCAAAGCTATCAATGTAAGTGGTAGGCTTGCCAATTGTAAACCCTTTCACAGCATAATTTTGAAAACTATTTTATCAAGTGGTATGACTCACTTTGGAAAATAGTATGTGGTAAAAGGGTTGAATAATCCACAAAATGATCACTTAAATTGGTAGGGTTGGCAAGTGCATGATGACGACAATGACAAATGTAGTATAAGAGAGCTGCCTAAAACTTCTGACCTAAGGAGTCACATACCCAAATCTCCATATGGCCGACAGCCACAAGACACCGATGGGGTGGTCACTCGGTCGGTTCGCACTCGTTGGCCATAGAGTTTTTGAATATAAAAATCTGCGGGAGCACCCCGAGTGTACTCGTGTCTGGCTTCACTGCCAGGGGGCGAGTGCCATAAGTTGTTCCAGCTTCCGCAGATTTTTCGTGTTTCAAATAAAGTCGCAATGAAAATATTTTTTTTACCAAATATTAATCGAGCTGCACTTGTAACAACCCAGAAGTGGCATATGGCTCACAGACCGCGGACTGGCAACCCTTATAATATAAAATAATCAGCATTGAGATGATGCGCAAATTCCAAAAAATTGTGCACTTCAGTTGGCGTTCGAAGTGGACTGCGACCCTCAAAGAAATGGCGCCGCCCCCATGGTCGCCCCCCCCGCCCACCGTGATCCGTGGATCAAACAAATCACTGGAGACTCTACAGCGTATGACAGCAATGGCAGCTTAAGCGAATGCTGTCGCGAGAGGTCACACGTCTGGCGCAACGGTCCTTCGCTGAATATGCGTCATGAATGAATGATGAAAGCAAGAGGCTGACCTGGAGGAGAGGGGCCCGAAGGGCGTGCGAAAGCAGGGCACGCCGCGCTGTCGCCGCTTGCGAAAGGCCTGCTCGGCGAGCTTGCCTTCCGATGGGGGGTCGATGCGCCAGAAGGAGCCCTTGCCCGGCTCCTCCTGCGAGCGCGGCACCTTCACAAAGTAGCGGTTCAGCGACAGGTTGTGCCGGATCGAGTTCTGTGGGAACAAAGACAAAAGATCCCCCTTGAGGCCTAAGCAATTTTATCTTTATTTGACCTGGGTAAGGCCCCACTGGGCAATGTAGCTCTTTTTTCAGAAGCGATCTGACCACAAATTTGATAGCTCAACAAAGTGGCTTATCATGTACAAATTTATAGCAGCCAAATATTCTCAACGCTTGCCGATTCTAAATGTGGGGGGGAAAAACGGAGAACCTGGAGGAAAAAATCCACTCGACCACGGGGAGAAGATGCAAACTCCAAATATACAGGTGTCAGGGTCGGGATCGAACCCACAAACGCCTGTATACCAGGCGAGGTAGTTAACATCTCGCCACTGTGGCACCCAACACACTGCAGGGGCAAGGTCTGATAGTGAGCACCCATGAAGGTCAGCACGGCAGACGAGGCGGGGTTGTGGCCGCCACCACCACCGCGCACGGCTGCCTTTGTCTCCCCATTAATGATGTTTGCACACCGCACCAGGTACTCAGGACCGATTGAGATAATTTTCACCGATGTTAGCCATGGCCAGGAATCGAACGCACGTTGAAGGATTTGTGGCACACTGCGTTGACCACGAGGCTACCAGACCCGTGCACACAAACACACGCGTCATTTGCAGCTCTCCGCAACCGGAATAGACAAAGCACAAGAAATGCTTGCACTGCCATTCAGAGTGTTAATTAAGTCAACTTTACCAGTTAAGCTATTGAGTTAAGCTTAAGCCAATGATTGTTATCGTGATCCCGATCCATCCGGTGTCAATAAAATAATCATCACGAGATAGAAAGCCAGCTTTCATTGATCCATGGCGATGCTGCCTCTGCCATAGATAAATATAATTTCCAATACTGGCTAAGACCACGAATTAAGTTGCGTACTGCCCTATCCTCAATTGAAATACTGCGACACATTTAGATATTACCATAGGAGTAGCACTGTACATATATACAATTATCCTCGGCAGCAGGCACTCAATTCACTGCTGGATAAAGGACTCCCAAAGTTGCCGCAATCTCTCAGAGCTCTGCGATGCAACAATCCACGTAGCACCTGCAAACGAGCTCATTTCATCGCTCCATCTCCATGGCATACGGAACCCTTGGGATAGTTCATATACAAGTAAATAGTATAATAATCAAATGAGCATCATCGCAGAGTCTAAAAAGCCCCCAGTTTTATTTACCAGTTTCATGCCGGAAAGGTAGCTCTCAACAATCACCCACCCCCCACCACCTCACGAGAAGTTAATCGCACGCAAAGGCGAGCGCTTTAAGTTTTACCAGGGACGTCACGATTTCACGCTCATTCGCGTCGCCACGGAGCGGTCGTCAATCTTGGCCTGTGCTGCGCGACAGGCCACGCCACTGCTACAGCCGTCCGCCTGCCCACCGGCCCGCACAGTGCAATATCTTACAGGTCACGGTCACGGCACAGCGCCTGCCCTTATTGAGACTGTCACAGAGTGTTTAAAGACTTCAGAAGGACGAGTGGAAGGGAACGCTGCATCGAGTGCCCCCCCCCACCGACCCCCCCCCACCGACCACCCCCCTCCCCCCCCACCGACCACACCCCCCCCCCCGCATCCTTGTCTTCACCCCGGCCTGCGTACACCTTGGGAGGTGACAAATATCCCGGGAGGAATAATATCTCCCAATACGCCGGACGAGATGAGAACTGCATGTAAATGCGTTGATTTGAATGGTGTGCTGTTATGGTCGTATGCAACTGGAAAAAAAAGCTTAACTCTAAATGTACTGGGTAGAATTACAAATTTCCCTGGACAGCAGCCGGGTAAAAAAATGACGATCCTGGGAAAATGAGGGCAGTGGCAACCCGAGTGATGCTCCAATTGCAACGCGTCATCAGCAGCGGTGGTGGCGGTCTGGCGATGCATCGATTAATCGATTTTGTATGCAAGTACGTTGAACGTCTTTCGCACAGTACCGTAGCCAACTGTGCTAAACATAAAAGTGTCTGTGCAACAGCATCTCCAGACAATAAGCGAGGGACTACATTAAGGAAGAATGTGAAACGGGAAGGGCAGCAACACCTTGGAGGGGATAGAGAACAAAAATTATGGCACAGCCCGGGCGGGGCCCCCCTAGGGGCACCTGGGCCCATCACCAACGATGATTAAATATTGATCAATTAATAGTGATTCTGAAGCTCAAATGGTGGAATGTTTAACTTGCAACAAAAAGAGGTGCTCGTTTTATTCACCCTGGAGGGACGATGGGTTAACGCAGATTCTTCCTCCTCGACATACGATTATGAGTGGATCTCACAATCCGACAGCCGTGACATTATTGGCTTGAACCCCTGGTTGAACCCCGGTTGAAGCCAATGGTCAATTAATATAATTTAACAAAACAGCTAACAATAGGCAGACTTAACAACCTTACCCATGTCACTTCTAAATGCAGTAAAACCTTGGATTGCGAGCATAATTCGTTCCGGAAACGTGTTTGTAATCCAAAGCACTCGTATATCAAAGCACTCTTATATCATTTGTGATCACGTGATGCTCGGCAGACAAAGCGTATACGCGTACTACTCGTATTGCAAGACCTCGTTCGTTTATAAAATTAATATTTATTTTAAATGTTTGCTCGTCTTGCAAAACACTCGCAGACCAAGTTACTCGCAATGCAAGGTTATACTGTACTACTTAAAAAGTAGACAATAATGCACCTGACATGATTTGCTACAGTTCACTATATGTGTTGCATACAGTGGACTGCAGCGAAATAAAGCAACATTGTTGAATCGTACGATTGTGACGAGAGAGAGCACTGGGCTCGTGCTGCCAGTGCTTAACGACGCGCAACTAATTGCTCTGCTGATCCCAGTGGGGGGGGAGATGTTGCTACACAACTCCATTCCTTTCAGCACCAATTTTTACTTCTGACATACAACATCATCAAGCGCCAAAATAACAATGAATCATTTATCACGCATGCTATTCTTCTCGATGATGGAATTTTTTTACACCTTACATGAACTCGTAAATGAACAAAAAATATTCCCCAGTATAGCCTTAACAGACTGTTGGGGCAAGTGCTGTTAGCGAGCACCTACGAAGGCCGGCACGGCGCACGAAGGGGTGGGTGGCCAACACCATGCCCAGCCGCCTTTGTCTCTCCAGTGGCGATGTTTACACACTGCACCAGGTACTCATTTGAGGCTGAGTCGACCTAGGGGGAGGGCCAGGACCGGTTTAGATAATCGCTATCACTGGTGTTGGCCGGGAGCGGGAATCGAACTCGGGTCGTCTGGTTCGTAGCGCAGCGCACTAACCGCGACACCACCACCATTCCCTATAATAAATTAAAGCTTACGTAGTGACATTAACTTTATATCTTGACTTAAAGCTTTCGTGACTGCAGGAATCCATATTCTTTGGGTCTTTGGGTAAAGCCACACAGATAGAAAAATAATATATATTTTTTATTCTATCTACGTAGCTTTACCGAAAGACCCAAAGAATATTAACTTTATAGTAAGCTACTAATAGAAAATGTAATTAACATTCTGATACTATAACATTATCTGTACAAAACTAATGTGTAATGCAAGGCCTTTCCACAGATGCAGACACATAGTTTTGTCTTCCAAAAACATTTTAACTTGTTCTTTGCACGACTTAATAAAACTCGCTAAAATCGTGTGCCTTAATATTTAAAGAATGTCAACAAAATTCCTCGAAATTCTGATCAAATTATTTACCAACATTGAGCCAAGTCCTGATCCTGGGCATCAAACGAGCCAAGAACAAACCCAGGATATTAAAAGGGCCCCCCCCATGTTTGTGTAGCTGTCAAACAGGACAGCAGCCACGCGTCGGGACGACCGACACGAGACATCAGAGCGAACATCATTGCGTTTAATAATTCAAACACGATGGCTCCTCCAGCTGCTCTCGTAGCCTAGAGAGCCGTGTGTGAAGACCCCCAAGGTCACATCGGTTGGTTTAGCGGAAGGCATTTGAAAGCAGGAGAGGATGGAGCTTTTGCAATAAAAAACCGTGTACATTGCACTCCTGTAGTTTGTATCAAAAACGTATACACGACTATGACCAACTCACAGAAAGTATAAATTGTAATGATGTTCTAGCAGATCCATGAAGAATAAATGTGGCCTAAATACAGCTGAGTTTATGCTTTTAACCATCGCTCACCACACACACGTATAAGCAACAATCCATCATATAGCCAGATTACTGTGGAAAGTGCCGTTATAAAGCCCCTATTAAGAACTACCCAGTGCATGGGGTGTAACGTGCCCAGTGATATGCCAGGTTAGCATTGTTTCCGAACAGGAATTGAACTGAAGATACTAATCTATTTTTATTTTACCAGGTAAGGCCGCCTGAGCTGGCCACAAATGATAGCTCAACGAAGTGGCTTATCACGTGGAAATTTATAGCAGCCAAATATTCTAAATGCATGTTGATTCTAAATTTGGAGGAAAAAACCAGAGAACCTGGAGAAAAATGCACTCAACCACAGGGAGAACATTCGAACTCCAAATATACAGGTGTCAGGGTCAGGATAAATCCCACAACCACCAGTATATCAGGCGAGGTAGTTAACATCTCGCCACCGTGGTTCGCCGACTGGGTTCGTAGCACAGGGCGTGAACCTCTCAGCAACCGTGCCCTGCACCTGTGCATATCACTCACAAAAACAAAGATCCCCCATGGACGTCCTACTACCGATCACCTATTCAGGCTAGAACAGTGCATAAGGGGGTGGTGGAGTCAGCACTATGCCCGACCACCTTTGTCTCCCGAGTGCTAACATTTGCACAGCACGTCAAGTACTAATATTTAGGCCGAGTCGATCGAGGGGAAGCCAATAAATATACACTGGTTCAGATATCACTCTCCAATGATGTGAGCCATGGCCCTAAATTGTAACTCTTGTTGCCTTGTTCGTAGCAGTGTGCTTAGCCGCTGCACCACTGCTCCCCACACACACACATAGAAAGAGCCAATATATAGCCTACACTGGCTGTTGCGGTAAGTGCCATTAGCAGGATTTTAATGGGGTGTGTGGCCAGTACCACACTCTGCCACATGTATCTCTGCAGTGCCGATGTATACACAGCATCAGCTAGCTCATTTAAGGCCGAGTCGACCGTAATACACACACGTGGATGCGCACATGACAATACTTGTTCTAATCCGATTCCCGTGTCGGTATGAGACAGTACCTGCCACCCTTTGTCCGCGGTCCGGTAGTAGGGGTAGTGCTTGGTGATGTGAGCGTAGATGCCACTGAGTGTCAGCTGCTTGTCAAGGGCAGATGTGATGGCCTGCACGATTAGCTGGGCATACGAGTAGGGTGGCTTCGACTCATCCTGCCAACACACACACATACACCCACAGCCAACACTTCAAACCAGCTGTCAACTTACACCTACAATTGAGATCCTTGAAATGCACATTGTTGTGCACCTGAGCAAACGTTACACAGCAGCAGCAAGAACGTCCATTGCCCTAAATCTTAACTTAATATCCATGTGCTAGATATACGCCTGAGCTAACGAACGGAAGAAACGACAGTAAACCCAACTGTATTCATAATATTTGTGCACTGTTAATATATGTGTTTACTACCAGTAACTATGGTAACTTGCAATAGCAATGACAGTTTCCAATGAAAACAGAAATTATTGGACGATTGGTCTGTCGAGCACACAATCTCAGGTTGTCAATGTGACCTCTCATCTACAATCATTGTCCATTAGGGGGGAGGGGGTAACACTAATCATTGTTCAACTGCATGTTTTTTTTTCTATTTACGACAGAACACAGCACGTAAAATATGCGCCAACAACAATAGCGCCGGCACGTCCACGGCTTTTACGCCTCCACACAGCGGCAGCCTTCCTTGCCTTGGGACCGTCGCCTTCCGACGTCGTGTCCTTGTCCTTCTCCTGATCGCATGCCGCCTGCGCCGCGTACTCAGCCACGAGCTGCAGGTCCGGTGCGGCGCCGCGTCCCAGCCGGTACCCCGAGGAACCGGCAGCCCCGCGGGACTTGATGGGCACGAGCTGGCGGCGCTGGGGGAGAGAAAAACCAGGCTTTAGTATGCTCGTGGTGAAGCCCCGTTTCAGAATCAGAATATTTATTCATACTGGAAGAATCCGATGAGCTAAAGCTCTTATCTCCACAGATGTTCAGTTATAGAGTGGCGGCCGTCTATGGCCGCCGAAAAAAACCACACGAGCAGGCCGCACGTGAGCTTCGTGAGATGCAGACAGAGAAACATCCTAAAAAAGGTCTGCGATTGGATGGATGTATTTGTAGTATATTTAGAATTTAGAATCAAGCGAATTCATGTACTTATTGGATGAGGGGCCTCCCTGACAATGTGCGAATCGTAGTGGATATAACTTTGACCACGATCCGTCACGCTGGTCCATGTGGGTTGGCCATGTCATAGTTTAACAATTCATTTTTATGGGTAAGAAAACAATGCGGCTACAAATGTGCTTTTACTTTTTTTCACGAAAGAATAGAGTTTAAGAAGTAGAATACGTATGTGTCAATCCCTTATCAGTGCCTACCTTATTACTGACCAATTCAGACCTTATTGGTCACCCCGTGCCCTTATAAATCTCAGCGTTCATCCTACAAAGTCCCATCACAAAGGAGAAACACAAACAAATAGACATTTTACTTTGCCCATATTGAAACGGCTGTATGCCGTTTGGACCTGAAAACTCAATTTCCCTGTACAAAAATACGGATAAACCATATGGGTTGACAGGCTATGAGAATGTTTCGTGGGTTTTACTGTTTTGCCGACAAGTTTGTGGTAAGTAAATGTTACTCGCAATGTGTTTGATACGATTTCACCAGCCACTAGAGGTCGCTACAATCACTCATATGTTAAAAAAAATAGGTTTCCTGAAGAACATCAACCAATTCAATCATGAGAGCAGGCACAACATCTTTATACATTCCCTACAAATGACCCACCCTATAGCCATGAGTCATATAAAACCTCGGCACTATGGTGCCCTCCATCACACTTAACCTCAACAATACCAAGAACATACTGCTGCTGGTTCTGGGAATGACAGTGAAATGTGAGCAACAGCAAAGGTTGCATATACATTTACAGATCACCTACCCATTGCAGTCCATTTTTATTATTCCCCTGTTAGGTGAGACTTTTGGGAAACACACACCATATGGGACCAGCCGCATTTTAGAAAGCAGTAACGATTACAGGCAGGCTGGCAACATAAACAAGCAACATTTAAGCCTGTGGGAGAGTAATTTGGCATGAAGACAAAACAAGGGTTATCGTCTGCATATACCACGTAAGGCTTAGAAAGCTGTGTAACCATGGGATGTTCAAACAACAACGAGATGATCTGTTGCGCATATTCATGCGTCATCTGAAATAAATACGAAAGCCGTGCAACACTACTACGGTCTTGTTGTTTACAGAACCCATAGTGGTGGTGAAATGTCTGCGAATTCCTAACAAAGAGGCATCGGGGCCACAGGGCCCGATAATATTACCCGATTATTCATGAACGTCTTCAACAGAGAGACGAGTTTTAATTATAAAAAAACAGGTAAGGGCCCACTAACATGGAGAATGCAGGTCAAAATAAGGCAGATTTCCCAAGGTCAACACAAATTTACCGTACAGCAAAACAATTTCAGTCTGAAGCAAAGCAAGTCCAAAAGTTAAACAAGCATCACACAGGGTCACTAAACAGAACAAATAACAAACCAGATTTAAAATGTAAACGAAACAGACAAAACTGGCGAAAAAGTAGGTTTCTGAAAATAAACGGACCTCACGACACACCGTAATGATGATAATGATACATTTACTAATTTCCTTTATTTTGAAATGTTTTTGACTTTGATAATAACCACGAGACATGGCGTTTAAAGTCTGAATGAGCAGTGTTTACCATCTCCCTTGACCCCAAAGGCCAATGGTTTTGTAATGTACCCATATTTGTGTCAAATGTCGCGCTCAGAAATATCAACTGCCTGTGCAAACTCCATAACTTGCGGACGTTTGAAACATGTTTTCAACTTGAAAACACAGCCAAGTGCAGAGATGTTGGGGGGTACTATTAGGAGCATCCTATTGTCCGCATTCATCCACGCAAATTACACATTTTATCTGTAAACTAAGAAACAACATCATGATGATGATGTTCATCATGATGCCGATAACCATCATTAGCAGCAGTAACATCATGAAGACGGAGAAGCTCAGTTCAAGTCCACATAACACTGATGCTTGCAATGGCTACAAATCAAACTCAACCAATCCTCAACCCCGACCCCCTCACAATAAGCCCCTTGGTGACATTACTTGAGTTGTACAGATAAACAGGGCCTCCACGGCAAGCTAACGGAGATTGTGTTGGGTGCCATTTCATTAGCAGTTAATGCAATTTGGAAATAATTGGATCAGAAAATCTGGAGACCTGCTCTATACACAGTAACACACTCAAGTCTCACTGGTGTAAGCTGCCAATTTATATGTCTAAGTGTTGTTCCCTTAAAAAGTGCAGGTTTTCTCCAGGCATGTAGGTCATTATCCCACAAGTGTGCAAAGTACTTATGACAGAACTGGCCAAACAGCTCAAAACAGGATCCCCTCCTGAAATGAGTCTTGTTTACAATTATTATTCCGAAGATTTTTTATTCTGGAAAGTCTCACATAGTCAAGACTTTTTCAGGAAAGTTCTGCCAAGTTTTTTGCAGTGGGGGGGGGGGGGGGAGGTGATTTTGAAGTGTGTAATCCCACCGAGTGATTTGCAGGCAGTTTGTTTAGCATTGGGATGTTTTGGCCAGTACCAGTTACATAGTATGTTTTTTTTTTATCTATGGAAGTAAACCAAAGAACCAGGAGAAATCCCATTCACAACAGGGGGAGAACATACAAACTCCACAGAAAGGTGCCTACGCCTAGAATCAAACCCAGATATTTTTTTACTGAGGCACAACTATAACTGTGCCGCCCTGTCACCCAGTATAGTCCTGGTAAATTAAATAGTTTATTTCGTTTTAGTTCAGTTGGATTTATGGTACCTGCAGATAATAAATAATCTGACCAGGTAGCACCATCATTATAACATTTAACAATTGGAAGGTCACGAATTCAAATCAATTTTGTGGGCCGACTCATCCCATTGTCGTCATCATCTTAATTCATAAAATGAGTAACGCATTGTGAGAAATTGACAGTGGTTGTCCTGTAGGGTGCTTGGCATCCACCGTGGAAATGTGGAATCACTACCACTCGATTCGGGCCAATGTCTCAGCAAGGACAACCCACAGCCGTCACAGGGACCGTTTGACAATACTTCACCAAACTGGTCAGTGTGGGTCGGTGCAAGATTATTTCTTAGACGAGTTCAGATATCCCTTGCCACTGATGTTAGCCATAGCCGGGAATTGAACATCGGTCACCAGATTCATGGTGATGTGCGTGTACCACTGCACCACTGTAACATCCCAGCAAAATGTATAAACCTCGGGTTATTATTGAATGTGGATAGTGACCAAAACTGATTAAATGCTGAAAAAATAAACAAATATGGCCCAGTCTCTACACAAGAAATATTCAATAATGTTTTGGTTTATCTGCAATGATTCTTTGTCATGTTATTTTTCAGTTTAATATTGTGCAGCAGTATTTATTTAAACAAGTAAACTCTGGACTGTGTTTGACCTTTTGGGTCTCATCAGCAATCAGACTTGTTAAACAAATACTGCTGGGTTGTGAATTAGTCCAGACTTTGCGACTGGCTGATATTTGGTATGGAAACCCGTAGGTTGATTAGACTAATAAAATGTGTTATTTTTACGTGGAGAGACAATGGGGGCATGTTAATCTATTTTCTATTACACATAATGCACCACAACAATATATGTATTATTTTTATTAAATAAAGAGGCGAACAAGAACAGGATGGAGCAATTTTCTGTAAAGCTCAACTTATACCTAGAGGGCACCGACACTCACAGTCCACAAGTCTTGGTTTTAAAAGTGAGTGCTCATGAGACCATGGCCAAGGTTGAGGCCAGGAACCACAAGGCCAAGCTGAGGCCACGAGCAGGATTCTTTAAAGTCGAGGCCAGTGTCAAGGTAAGGCAAGGTCAGATCCTCTAGGCTGAGGCTAATATCGAGGCCAGTTTCAAGGGCAGTCAAGGCCCAAACCTCTAGGATGAGACCATTGTCAAGGCCATTTAAGGCCAGATCCTCTAGATCAAAGCCAATGTCGAGACCAGTATCAACGGCAGCCAAGGCCCAAAATCTCAGCGCTGAGGCCACTGTCAAGGGTGGTGCCTCTAAGCAAAGTCCTCAGACTGAAGCTACACCCCTGAGGCCAAAGTCAAGCAGGAAAACTTCGAAAAAGAAATGGGGAGGGAACCACAGTGTTGGGGGGGAGGGCACAGAGAAGAGTGGCCAAGCCCACTGAGCCAAACGTTGGATCAAAACGCGAACTGTTGCCGGGCCGATCGAGGAATGGCACGGCATGAATACGATCTGATTTTTGTCATGCCAATGGGAACGTAGCAACAATCGCCGGGTGTGCACGAGAAGAAGGGGCACAGCAGCATCCAGCTCACCTGATGGTGCCCGTGGGAGATGGCAAGGGGCTCACAAAGTCCATGGCCGGATCCGGAATGTTGATCGCCAGCGGTGAGACGTTGGTTTGCAGCGGCTTCATGGGAGATGGTGGCCTCGGCGTCAACTCTGCCACCTCCTTCCTCTCGTCGTAGAGGCTCCGGAATGTCAGCCGGATATTGGTGCTGGGAAACCGGAATGTACACCTGCGGTGCCAGGTACGCACAAGCGAGGATAATCATCGGCGCGAATTCACGTGATCGTCAGGCAGCATCAAAAAGTTTTGACGCGGAAACCTGCAGCATATTAAAATGTCGTTTCGCTGAGGTCAGACGCTGGCAGCTTTCTTGTTGTTGTGCATTGCCAGAAAAACAGGGAGTCATGTAACAGTGATGAGGGGTGCTGTTTTGGCTGAGAAGTGTAAAAACAAGCGTTGAACCAAGCATCGGTTTTCACTTCACAGATGGTTTTGCGATGTATTACCCCGTAAAATATTATTCCAATAACAACGATTCAGTCACAGATGAAAAGAGTGTGGTTACAATTATGGTATTTGTACATTATAAATAGTGGCAAGGTTATGAAGTAAGGTGAAGAGTACCTCACAGATGGTATTGTTTAGTGCTTAAATGCTACAGCATCTCAAAAGCACATTTACAAAATGCCCATTAGGATAATACAAAATTACCAGGACAAATATTGAAAACGCTAAACAGCTATAAAGGGTGGGAGAGGGGTGGTGGTGGAGAGATGAACAAGAACAAGTAAACCCGTAAAAAAAAAAGTTTTTCACTCTAAATCCTTTATATGCGTGGCGGCTAGAGTTCTCTCGTCCTCTGGCTTGAGATGGCTGCAATCTATGGGTCAGATGATTGTCTGCCAGTATTAAGCAATTGGTAATTAAATATTTAATTTGTTTTCCCTAAACAGTGTAAAATTTTGGAAAAAAAATTTCACGAAAATTAATTGTCACACACAACTAGTCTGTGTGGAAAATGTCAGCTCGATTGGATCACGGGAAGTGGGTTAAAAAACGAGCGAAAGATTTGCACGGTCCTAAGCAAGCAAGCGAACTTAATATAAAGGATTTAAAAATATATTCGCCTGTGGAGGACGCGGGGATCGATCCCGCGACCTTTGGCATGGGAAGCGAGGGCGCTACCAACTGCGCTACTCCACCACGGCCTGTGGAGGGGTTACGCTCTGGGCTCTTACACTCTGACGTTCAGCCAAAGCCATGAATGCGTTCTATTTGAATATATGTAAAATAAAAACATTTTGCCTAAAAAGTGTACAATTTTGGGAATTTTTTTTCACGAACAATAATTGTCTGTCACAACGAGTCTGTATGGAAAATGTCAGCTCGATTGGATCACGGGAAGTGGGTTAAAAAACGACCGAAAGATTTGCACGGTCCTAAGCAAGCAAGCAAGCACGCAAGCAAGCAAGCAAGCACGCGAACTTAATATAAAGGATTTAAAAAAGCCCTAGTTTCCAAAAAATATGACCAAGTAAAATTTCCTACAGAAGTGGATCATATTTGGAACCGTTTAACTGCTGATCGAAAAATACAATTTTTCACTCCCTGAAACAAACTAGGTCTCTTCCAGGAATTTCACACACACACTCACTCAGCTTACAAGCCAACAACTCGTATACATGCGAGAATCTCCCTTCTCAAAACCTCATCTCGAGGTCTTCGGCCAGCGAAAAACCTCCCCGCATTCCTACTGTTAAGAGAAATTAACACAGACCCATGTAGACGGCCAAGAATGTTTCTCTTTCTCGTTCTTATAAAATGCAGATTGGCTGTGGGCATGGTGCCAAAATGTATGGGTTATCACCCAAAGGCATTTAAGGAGCAGATTCTTGTTTGCAGCTGCTGCTGCATCATAAACCGGAAACCAGAGTAGACAATGGATCACGTGTGCGTCACACATTTCTGCGTTTCTGCAGTGCCTCTTCTACCTCCCTCTACACAAAGTGTTCTAAAACTAAACCACGTACCATATTCTATTTGATTATACGATGCACTTCAAACTTTTGCTTTAAAATACGGGGAGGGGTGAATCGTATAGCTGGAGAATACGGCCACGCTTAATGTGGCTGGGTTGTGGTGCTGTGGTTAAACACTCGACTCAATCTGAAGGTGGCAGGTTCAAAGTCTGGTCAGGGAACGATTTATCCCCAGCCTCTTTGAGGTTGATGAAAAATAATGTGTACCAAGTCAACAGTTGTTGTTGTCATATGGATTGACTGGCTCCACCACTGGAATGTGGAGTTACCATCACAAGTTCAGGGCCACCAATGGGTATTACCCAGACTCCTTTTTTTGCCGCAGGGTAACACAAAATGCGTTTTTACAGGTAGGAACAACAGGTTCCACACTGCCCACCAGGGATTATTTGTCTGTCTGTCGTCAACGAATGCGCTGTCCAACCAAGTTCCTACCTGCCCACTCCGAAGGAACGTGTTATGAAATCGTCCACAAAAATGTGAATTTAATAACTAAAATGTTTTATTCTGCTTGTGAGCTACAGTACAAAGTTGTTGGTCATGGGTGTTGTTTTAACCATACTTCATCACGCTGGTCAATGGGGATTGGATGAAGGTGGGGAGGGAGCCAACTACCAGTTCAGATGGCCACTCGCCCCCCCATTGATGTCAGCCGTGGCGAGGAATTGTACTCAGAAAATTAGGTAATCAGTCAGTGCAGTGGCGCTAACCACATGCGCCTTAAGTACTTACTTAAGTAACAAGAACATAAAAAAATCAGCTCACATTGTTCACACCTCACATTCTTAAGTAGCCAAAGAGAGTAACAATGCCGCTTCAGCGAGGTCCATACACTGACGTGTGTAAACAAAACACTCCCAAGGGCTGTGTCAGCGACTCACTGCCGACTGACTTGTGAAATTTGACCAATTACAGTGGAACCCCCCTCTTAACGACGACCCCTGTTAACGACTAATCGCTTAACGACGGGCCTCCATAGAGTGTAGTGTATAGTGTAGTTTATAGTAGTTTAGTGTATAGTAGTGTAGAGTAGAACCCCTCTTAACGACGACCCCTATAACGACTAACCGCTTAACGACGGGCCTCCAGAGCCCAGTGAAGTGTATAGTGTAGTGTATAGTGGTGTATGGTAGTGTAGAGTAGAACCCCTCTTAATGACGACCCCTGTTAACGACTAATCGCTTAACGACGGGCCTCCACAGAGCCCAGTGAAGTGTATAGTGTAGTGTATAGTGTAGTTTATAGTAGTATAGTGTATAGTGTAGTTTATAGTAGTGTAGTTTATAGCAGTGTAGTGTATAGTGTAGTGTAGAGTGGTGTAGTGTAGAGTAGTGTAGTGTATAGTGTAGTGTAGAGTAGTATAGGGCCTCCATAGAGCCCAATGTAGTGTATAGTGTAGTGTATAGTATAGTAGTGTAGTGTATAGTGTAGAGTAGTGTAGTGTATAGTGTAGTGTAGAGGAGTAGTATAGTGCCTCCATAGAGCCCAAAGTGTTCGCTTACCGACCATTCCCTTCGTAACGGCGAGCTGATGTAGGTACAGTAAATATTAATGAATGCATTTATTAACCATGTTTTTTTAATATTATGTGTTTATCATGTTGTTAGTATATTTATGTATTGATATCCATTGTTTAAATACTATAATGTACGTTCTTTGGGTGAAAAATTGAAACTTTCCATGCTATCGGAACGAATCAAGCCTTTAATGTGCATTTCCTATACTCGCTTAATGGCCAAATCACTGAACGACCGGTTTCGTGAAACCAAGTCCCGTCGTTAAGAGGAGGGGTTTCTCCTGTAAAACAAATGTCGCTACAAAACAATAACACGCACCACAGCTAGTACATGGCAACAACCGATTCCTGTACTATATGCCTGACGTGTTTCATCGCCACACGCAATTGTTATTACATTGCTGGGTACAAATACGGACTTAGACACCGCAGTAAACACAAAGCCAGTGCTTGGGTCCGGATTGAAAAGTGAATCTCAAAAAAAGTATATTCAAAACGCTGTGTAAATACGATGGAAAGGGCGGTGGCGACAAAGACGAATTTTCCATCGAACCCTCTGGCATTGGATGTGTAAATTTCAGTCAATGACAAGTGCGGCGTGCCTCCTGCAAACTGATTTCATTTCATTTTCGATTTAAAGCTTTCGTGACTGCAGGGATTCATCTTCTTGGTTCCTTCGGTAAAGTCACGTAGAAGGGAAGTAATAAAATAATAAAAATAAAACATAATAAAACAATTCTCACGACGTTTCGGCCACAACGCAAGCAGCCGTCCTCAGGTGAAAACCAGGTCCGTCGAGGCGACAGAGTCTGAATGAAACAGCACACGAGCTTGGAGCATATATATAAGCTGGGCGCATTGACAAAGGAATTTGCATATCAAAAGGAATTTAGCATATTTATGGGAAATGCAGGAATGTGATTAGTACTGCATATGCATGTGCATTATGCAGGATTAACAGCATCAAAGGGAGCTGCAGTTACTGCTGCTGCTGCAGTTGCTGCTGCTGCAGTTTCTGCTGCTGCACTTGCTGCTGCTGCTGCAGTTGCTGCCTTATCCATTTTAATATAACACTATGTATTATTCTACCCACCCTAATGTGTATCACACTGCTATATGTTTACTATACAATTACGACACCATACATTACTCTGCACACTGCATCATGCCAGTGAGTTGAACGCGGTCTGAAAGTCACCGTAAACGTGAACACAATCAGTTAAGATCCGAAATGGTTTATTACGTCCTTCCAATGATTGCTAAGCCAGAATCCATCTTCTCGGTTGAAATTGTCTCTGTGTTTGTATATGTGGATCGCCTCATGAACAAACTAAGTTTCCTCTGTGGTAGCAGTTACATTGGAGAAACCAAACGACATGTCTCGGACCGCATCCGTGAACATAAGGCAGACCTGAAACACGGTAGGACAAACACCTCAGCCGTGGCAGATCACTGTTACAACTCAGTGGGCTCACATGATATTGACTTCTCCAAGACAGAGGTTCTCTGCAAGCCATCTGGCTATCATGAGAGATTCGTTCATGAGGCGATCCACATATACAAACACAGAGACAATTTCAACCGAGAAGATGGATTCTGGCTTAGCAATCATTGGAAGGACGTAATAAACCATTTCGGATCTTAACTGATTGTGTTCACGTTTACGGTGACTTT